GTTGTATTGTACATGTATATGCAGGGATGAAAATACCTGGGACATCTGCAAAAAAAGTTGACGTGTGCATGATTGTAACAACATGTAATCCGTAATCTAAAAGAAAACAGCCTACATAGAAAGAATCATAATTACATTGCAGAAAAAGAAATGCAATTTCCTGATACATTTATGTTCTTTTTCTTGTATATGACATGGGCTTTTTTGTAGTAAGTCCAGAATTGGTTCTTGACTTTTAGGTTTTTTTTGGACTTGGGCCTAAACATTTTACAAGTCCGGAACTGGTCCAGCAAACAAGTACTCAGCACAGCACACTCCTGACTGAACAGGAAATGGCTATTTTTACCCCTAGGATCACCTGTCGGATTACAATACGGTTTCCTGCCAGTGTCTGGGCGCATGGCGAGCGCACATTTACCTTACCCCCAGGGCAAAAACGCTTTTTAGAAACAAGCACGAGAAATTAGGGATAACAGATAGGAAAGTATGGATCACTGGGTTACCCCTTAATACATAGGTTTGTGTGGGTGACAAGAAAATTAGCTTTCTAAATAAAAGACACAGTTAGCAGTTTAACTCTTACAACTGAAGATGATGATGAGCAGTTACTACTTTAACATAACAGAGGCTTTAAAAAGCTCTTGGTCAATTCGATTTCAGGAAATCTATCTTTCTTCAAGGGGGATTTTTATATGAAAGCTATTGGACCTAAAAAAAACTGTTCCTTCAAAATTACGGTAATTATGTTTTTTTGCCTTAGAAAGTTAGGAACACACTCCAAGAACTTATATCAAACCGGCTAATCCAGAGCTTAACTTAATCCAGAATTAGCATCTCAAAGAGCTTTCAGAGTCTTCCTGTGTGTTTCCTTTGGGACAGCCTAAGGAATGCAGTTTACTTCTTAATCTCCGTGGTAACAGGTAAACATTCCCACTCAGAAAAGGTCTCACCCTAATAAAGGTGATTTCATGGTCTACTCCATACTGTAAATTCAGGTACGTTTGCGAAGACTTTATTGTCGGGAAAAGGAGTTCTTTTTACTAATTTAGTTTACAATTGTAGTAGTGCAATGCAAGACAGAACATACATGTATGTTTGAAAAATTGTGGTGTGATAAGTCACTGTGAAAACTGCAAACATGAAGCGAGAAAGAATATTTTCAGATTTACAGTAGTAGTGAGGGCCACCTGTGAGTACACTTAGCCATCTTCTTAGCTTCTTGCTAATTTGGCATCACGTTACTCTTACATCTCAGGGGTATTGTACAACTACAAGCATCACTCACGCATTCACTATGATCAAGTTTGGTTTATTGTATGTTGTTCCCTATCTTCTAAAAGTTAGAAGTACCTGTAGTGTATAATCTTAAAGCAGATGTGGGTTAGAAAATCGTGATGTTTTCTAGCTTCTCCATTTTTCTAGCAAACATCACAATTTTCCACCCCAACATCTGCTTGGAGACTGTAACTGACTGTAAGGTAGTCAGTCTATGAAGAAGTATTGCTTTCTGATTCGATGTTACTTGGGCAGTTAGATTTGAAATCAGTGGCTGACTGAAAATTCATAAACTCAATTGATAACTGCTGGTGACAAAACAATTTTAGAGCAAACAAAAAATTGCAGCTGTTCCAAGAAGGAGGTAAAGCACTTGGACAAAGCATATTTGCACAGTACAAAATTATTTAGACAAAACCTGGCAACTTGGAAACTGATCTATTCTAGCTACTTCAGTCACAAAAACAGCTTGGTAACAAGGTTTTCCAAGAAATTACAATTTGTACATTGAGAAATCTTTGCCCCCCAAAATCCCCTGTGGAATCAAGTCAGTTTTACAGCTATTGCAACTGTTGATTGGGTCCATGTCTGACATAATCTTATCATAACAGAGATGATAAAATCTAGTCCTGATAATGAGAGGGAATGCCTAAATAGATTCTTATCATGTAATTAGATTACCTTATCAAAATCAATAGTACCAAGGATATATTCAGTAATGCAAGGACGTCCCTGGTGGGGGGGGAGAGAAAGAGAAGGACAGAAAGAGAGAGGAGGTAAGGAAGATGTCAAGAAAGAGAGAAAGATGGAGAAAGAAGGAAATGAGTATTTTAAGAACTGTGTTATTAAACCTGCCTGGCATTGAATGAAAAAATATAAAATGGATAACAATAGAATCATTGTTACAGTCTTGTTAGAGGGAATAGACTGAATACCTGGCTATTCTCTCACCTCTGTCTACCATGTTTCTGACTAGACTCCCTGTCTGTCCTTACATACAGGACACAACAACTGAACACAGGCGATGCACCTGTTCATAACAACTGACAGGTGGGCAAAGAGAACACTGGGATCATTCTATTCTTAGGTCTCTGCTGGAAATATAGAAAGTTGCTCTTTTTCAATTTCATACATGTGTAACGTTACATAATACATATGCTAGCTATTACATGTATATTTATAGATCTAAAACAACACATGCAGGATTTTCTCTCTGGTTTTCACAGTAGAAAAACATCATCAAGGACCTTTCAAAACTTTGTCAACAAGATATGTTTTGTTTTACATCTTGGAATCTCTTAAGAACAGTTTTTAGCTGTTTTCACGTGCCTCCCCCTGTAAAATTGGTATGGTCCTAACCCTGTGACCTGTTTCTTATTGGCTGTGTCATCCCTGAGGCTAGATAAGGATAATTCAATTACAGACCCAGCCATAATCACATAAACATAGGACATGGCTTGATCAAAACTCAGGCTAATAGCATTACATGTATGCAAGGACAGGACACTCGAAAGCTGCATACATGTAGCTAACCTCAGGGGGGCACTAGCCATGCCAAGGTGAGGCAAGCCCCTGGCAGCTTTCTCCCAAATTGCAAGTGTCTATCGTAAATACAATTTCCAAGCAGATGTTCGGTTGGAAAATTAAAAAACTCTTTTAGTCTTGTTTGCTTGAATTTTTCACTGCAACATCAGATAGAAATTATAGTTGGTAACTCGTACACATTTCAAGCATATAAATCCTATGGTATATATCATAAATAATCAATTATCTGTCACATTTTGTGGGTATCGTCATTATGATGATGGTATTATCAGACATCGATGCATGGCAGCTGTACACATCTCTATACATTTACAGGATTTTCCTCTTTCAGAGTCCAAGGCCCAGTTTACACTGTTGGCAAAACCCTGGATCCTAGTTTACACCTCGTAACATTTGCCTAATCCTGACACTTTATGGATCTAACCTCCTGCTGTAACGGTGACCCTTACCTAATGATCTACAGCAGTTGTCAACGTTCCTGTGTACAGCAAACACCCATTTCCTCTTTACTTACACTTAGCACCCCCCTGACAACATGAGTCAGTCTGTTTATGTAACCCTGTAGGTACAGATTTCTGTGTTTCTGATGGACAAATCAGGAACTTTAATCTTGTAACCAGAACTCCATGCATGATCTTGTGAACTCTTACTACTAGTCTTAGGAGCTATGATCTTATACAGCACATGTACATGGTGTAATCATTAAAAAAAAAGCTGCTATATTAAAACACATGATTTTAAGTTGATGTATCAGTCATGTTACACAATGTGTCTTACTTTTTATATCTTCATGAATATCATATATCCATTCAATTTCAATATGTAACAAACATATTCTTTTCAAACTCCAATTTTGCTACCTTAAGTATAGGATACATGTACAGTACTATATGATAGTATATCAGCTTTGTTCATGTCAACAAAGCATTTTCTCTCTGATATCACTGCAAAAACATAGCCATTCAATCAGTTATCACTGACAGGTCCAAAATAATTCCTGAATAAAACATGATTCTTCCCATTCATATTTTGCTCCTTTGCTCTTTATTATGCAAAGTCAAATTCAAAGCTAAGCTTAAAGCTGAATGAAATGGTCGCGAAACGGGATGCGGTGGCGTGCGCCTGGTTTGTTCTCGGTCCTTTTCTCTTTTCTCCTCCGTCCGCTCTTTTCTATAGACCACAACTTGGCGTGTAATTGTTGGGCCCGGAACTCATTGTAAAGTAATCTCTCTCAACATAAAAAGAGGGGGAGAAACTATGCAACAAATGACACCTGATATTCAATGCACCAGCTGCAAGGAAAAAAAGCTCTCACCATAGCACGTACTCTTACCATTTATGTAGACTAAAATAGAAACAATAGACTGGCCGACATTGTTGACAGATATGAGGAAAATGCCAGCTTATCATTAATGATATTTGAGAAGAGGGTCGGCTTTGTTGAGAAATGTTATTTTTTGTTTGATGTCCACAAAAATAAACAAGCTTGTAGAAAAAATAGAAATGAAATGCTACCGAAAAATTCAACAAACAAGCAAAAATATCTCTTGTCTTAATTTTTGAAAAGGAATCGGGGTATGAAAAAATATTAACAGCATATTTTGGACATTGTAAACTGTCAGCGCTGATGATCATTTGTAAACAGTGGCAGTAATATAAAAAATTCCAGTAAAATAACGATCGGAAAGGATCGATAACTAGAGGAAGCCATGTGGCACTATTACGTCCTGTATGGGGCTTTGAAATGTTGAAAAGCCCGTGTGTCCTGCAAGGGGAAAAGGACGGGTTAGCGGACGGGGCTGGGGAACTGCAACTACCGACGGGAAAAAACAGACGACACGGTACATGGGTGTCGACAGATCGCCCCCGTCCTTCGAATAACACAGGCATATTTCTAACAGATACACAAGTGTAAGATTTCTTAAAACCTGTAAAACTAATGTTGTAAGAAGTGTGTTAGCTGTTGTTTTTCAACACACGACACAGAAAAATCCCAAATATTGCAGTCGACACACGACTACCAAAAAACTGGGGAGGGCTGAAAATATGAAGGTTTTCCCGACTACTGACAGCAGACGACTCCCTGAAATTCTGTTCCCCAAACTCGCCCAACGGAGCGAGTAATAAGCGTGAGAATCATACAGGTTCTGTAAGTGAAAGAAGTACAAGCTTGTACTTACCCAGTACGCGTTAGAGCGGGAAAGCTCCCGGAGATCTAGCGGAAAACATAGCGGAGAAGGTCGCCGCGCCGGATCGATATGTCAAACTCCGGCAGGCTGAAATATTGTGTACGAGAGTAACCATAGCTACATCATACGAGCATGATTCGTATTCTTAAAAAACGTGCTTGTATTGAACAAAAATGCATTTAAGATTGTACAAAAGCCATGATGAGAACTGACATATGTTTGAATTGCTAATAATAAAGTGTAAAATAGGTTAAAAGAAATGTTGAATCTTGTTTTTGGCCGAATTGCTACAAGTACAAACTGTGTGCTATTGTTACGGTAGCACTGAGTAATACACAACTGGCTTCTTGTTCGTCGCTACATTACTGAAACACTAACTTTAAATGTAACTTGCTAAATTTACTTTGACCTTAACAAAATATCAAGATTTCATCTTTAATTTGTATACATGCTAAAAAAGTGAGATAAATGCAGTTTTATAACTTTTTATGTAGTGAATAACATTCGAATCTGGCTGCGCTCCAATAAGAACCTATCTTTACTAACAAACTCGGTTGCGCCATTTTGGTAGTGATGATTCCAAGTCGAAAGTGTGAAAAATAACCTTTGTTCCTGCAAAATCGGCGGTGAAATCATACTAGAAATTCAAGAAAAAGGTAAGTGCTATGCCAGACGTCATTTTTATGCAACGTCTGCTGAAAATCTGATGATCCTTTGGAAGATAATCCATTGAAAAGTCATTGTGAATGTTGCGCGTTTTTTTCTGGGGCAATCCCCCTCAAGCTAAACCGCGCCTCGTTGAGCCATTGAAATCGAGAAGATAAATTCACCAGATATCACAAGATTTCTGTCTCTTAATCACTTGTACGTTTTCAGGTAGCGTTATCCGTTCTTGATGCCGTAAAGTATAAAGCCTATTTTCAAACCAGATCGGACGCCCTCCCCATGTTTGTTGTGTCACGTGATCAAATAGCAGTAAACAGACCAGATTTACATAATCCCGTCAGCAAATTTAGTTTTGTTTCGTCAGTTTCTCATAGTGTAATTTTTCCATAGGAGAAAGTTACAGTATATAGTAAAAGACATTTTTGGCTGTGGGACTTGCAAAGCAGTCTGGGTTATGGGTTGAAGTCTGCCATCTCTGGCAGCTGCACAGACCTTTGCAACAGTTCCACAAAAGTGTGTGGAGAAAATATGTTAAATGTATCATGTGCATTATGTATTTTGTAAACCTGTGCATTATGCATTTTGTAATGCTATAAAAGGCTGCGATTGCATGGGTAATGTTTGACCAAATAAACCATTTATTATTGACCAATAGACCATTTATTATATCTCTGTTTGTTTCAGGATGGATCTGGGTGATTCGAACTCGTCCCAGGGCCTCCTCCCTAATTCCGGATCGTCCACCGCCCTGCACACCGGCCTGCTCAACTTTGAGGGAATTGACGATGAAGTTTCCAAGGAGAGTAATGACTTAACAGTAGATGCAAGGTGAGCATTATGTAATCAATTAATCAATCAATTAACCAATCATTAATGGGTGCATGAAGTTAACTGACGCATAGTGGCTGTAGACATCTCTTTCCAAGACATTAGTTACATGCAAAAATGACAACAATGCAATGGAATAGGAATGTTGAAAGATATTAAAACTTCATCTCTGACATGTTTTAAATGTTGTTTTGCTTTGTTTAGTTTCACAGGTGATGGACCAAATTTCTCTGGTCGTGGCCAAACGTTGAGCAACCCTGAGTATGTGACAGATCTTTCACAAGGTAGGTTTGGAATACATTTACCGGTATCAAGATTTTGGACATGTGGTTTATTTGTACAGTATCATGATACTTAGAACATAAGCTGTCATGTTGTTTAGTTTTCAGAAGGGATAACACCGTCACAGGTACATCACAGTGTATGGCAACTAGTTATGTGGATGCAAGTTTATATTGCTTACGGTTTTGTCCAAATCTTTTTTTCAGTTGAACTGTTGCAGAATGAAGGAGGAGCAGACAACACTGGCACAGCAGTACAAGAGGGGCAGAAAGAAGAGGTAGGATTATCTTAAGGATACACATGTCATTGAATCAATGAATTGATTTGTCTTAAAATAGACATTATTATCAGGTATTGATATCTACTTTGGAAAAGCCAATATTACTGCAAAAGAAATATAATCTTTCATGTCTCCAATATGTAAAATTGAAAAAGGAAGAGAAAAATTGAGGTAATTTTAGTCAAAAGAGTTTCAAAACTTTAACATCTGTAATTTAAACTTTGAACTTTATTCACCTTAACAGCGGTGGCACAATCGGTTGTGCCGTGAGCAAGATACGAAATTAAAAGCAAATTATATTTGAAATAAAAGGATTTAAGTGGACTTGGAGTGGACTTGGAATTTGTTTTTACTTTGTAATAATTAACCATTGACTTCTGTTTATTTCTAGCAACCCCAACCAGTGAAGAAGAAAGGCGGATGGCCGAAGGGGAAGAAGAGAAAACGAGTCACGAAGGACGTGAACGCGCCCAAGGCCCCGCTGACTGGTTATGTCCGTTTCCTGAACGAGAGGCGAGAAAAGATGCGCCAGGACAATCCCAACGTGCCGTTTCCCGAGATAACCAGGATGTTAGGCAACGAGTGGAGCAAACTGGCGCCACACGAGAAACAGGTGGGGAGAATTTCTCACTCAATCAGTCATTAAGATATTGTTAGGGGCTTCACATTTTTATGTTTACCAAAGGAAAACAGATTGTTTTTGCTCAGTTTCTTCTTCTTCTCCAAACAGTGACCTCTGACCTTGTCAATGACCTGAACCAGACTGTCTCTCACCATGGTAACTGTTGGGTTGCATAATGTTGCAATTTCATTGTACAGTAGTAGGGATTTAAACTCCTGTCACCATGTATGTGAATGTATTTGAGTAAGAATTAACAGCAGACCATATGCGAAGGTAAACATTTTGCATTTGCTTTGCAAATATTACCTATATATATCTAGTTTGATGTATTGTTGTTACTACTGTACATGTCTAATTGTTTTATTTGCATTTGTTCCAGCAATACTTAGATGAGGCAGAAAAAGACAAAGAGAGGTACATGAAGGAGTTGGAAGAATATCAGCAGACAGAGGCCTACAAACTCTTCCAGAAAAAACAGCAAGAGAAAAAGAAAAAAGGTTGGCTTTACTGTTTCTTCAAAAACTTCGTTCTTCATTTTGGTTCTCATATTCATATTTTTTTAAGGAAAATGAAACTAGCTTGTGTCATTTTCATGTATTGTATTTGTTTTATTCAGTTTTTGAGTTGTAAAGGGGTTAGGCTGCAAAAGAGCTTCTGGTTTGCTGTTTTGTACAAAGGAGTCTCCTATATCAACACTGAAGAGTACTGTACAACACCATTTTCCTGTAGGTTTCTTGTTTAAGAACTAACCTTCTTTTTTGCCACCAGATGATGACACAGGTGCAGTTAACGGAGAGCAGGATGACAAAGAAGACGAGGTCCCAACGTTTGACGTGCCTATCTTCACAGAGGAGTTTCTGGACCACAATAAAGGTACATTTCCTTTATCTGTCCTGTGGAAGTGTATTTAGCAAAAACCTGTTCTGTTTTGCCAAAGAAAGATGATGAACATCAATTTATGTAATGTGCCTCTTTTCCTTTTGAAATAAGTTGTGGTTAAAGATAATAATCACCCCTCTGCCTCTTCAGCGAGAGAAGTAGAGCTGAGACAGTTGAGGAAATCCAACACAGAATACGAGGAACAGAACGCCATTCTACAGAAGCACATAGAGAACATGAAAACAGCTATAGAGAAGCTGGAAGTGGAAGCCATGCAACAGAAAAACAACAACCTGGCCCTACAGCAACACCTGGACGCCCTGAGGAACACCCTGTATCAAAACTTCAGTAGCTTACCGCTACCAGGTAGTAAGTGTGTCTTAGTGCTGGTCTCGGTCAAGTCTTAAAATCTTTAAAGATTGCTGTCTGTTACATCAACTTACATGCTATGCATCCTGAGTGTAACATTTGTAGCCTGAGATTCAGCTTGCTAGCTTTTGTCCAACTGTTGCTCCCTTAGAACAAAGGATGTCATGGTTAGACTGGACTACAGCTAGACATCTGAATCTTAGGGCACAAATTTATCATGCTTTTCTACCCTTTCACCTGCTACTGTTAGTCTAGTCTCCTCTTTTCCACTGTCAGGCTCACAGCTCACCAACTGACCCCCCAAAAAAGCTCAACCATTGTTAATTGTACACCTCCCAAATCAATTGTGCCAATGTGTTCTGTCTTTGGAGGAACCTAAGAAAAAAAGAGAAGAAAAAAAGCTAACACTCCCAAGTAGTCAGTAATTTCTTTCCTAGTTTATTCTGTCACTCATTCATTCACTTACTTGTTCGCTCATCCCTCCATCCATGCATTCATCAGTTATACCTCCCAGTCTATAGAACCGTGAAGAGTTGGTTAGCCCTATGTACAACTCTTCCTTACATAATTCAAGACACCTTCGGTCACCCAGTGGCCTCTTTCCCCTCAGGAAGCGGAGAGGTGCCAACCCTGGAGACCATCGACGGCTACATGGCCAAACTACACAACATGATCCTGGAGAACCCCCAACAACACGAGAGCCTCATCCAGCAAGTACGGGAGGTGGTGGGGCGACTAGACTATCAGGGGTGAGTTAGGCCGTAGAGCCTAGGAAAAAAATGTTGTTTCCTTTACTACGTAGTTGTGCAGACAGGTAGTATGCACAACTTTTAGCAGATGCATTTTGCAAAATTTACAAGTTAGTTACTAGTTACAAGTCCTGAACAGTAGCGAGCCTGCGAGGATGCAAATCTTCTCAGGCTCACTAGATGGCAGTTTTTTCATGTTTATCTCTTTCTTTTTTCAGGGAGAAACTATAGCAAGCAGCCACAGGGACAGTGGAGAAGGTGTACATGTGATCACCAACTGGCAAATACTGCTCACAAACTTTGTCATTCCCAAGGACCAAAATGAGCACTGTGGAAGGAGAAAAATAGTTGTAACAAGTCTTTTGCCACTGTAACTTCCTATTATGGAAGAGGGCAACGTTCTATTGAAATTTGATGGGAATAAAACATTTTTTACTGGTAAGTAATGTAAAATCTCTCCACACTTTGTAGGGCAATTTGATATGCTCGAATGCTTTGTTTTGCATTAAAATTCTCAGTATGAGATGCAACCAACTATACCTTTACCTTTTACTTTGTCAAATATTCCTTAGGGTCAACAGAAGTATACCTACAGTCAAACCTGTACAAGTGGAAGTGACCACCCTGTGTATAAGGCCTATATGGCCATTATGTCCACTTTTTTTTTTCCACTGTCCTGTAATTATTTTTTTTTCCATTGACTCGAGCATTAAAATCCTGTCTTCTCTGACCATTGAATCCTTGGAGCGGTCACTACAGATTTTGTATTTGTATAAAGGTTTATGTTAAGCATAAGTGGAAATAGCAATGCCATCTCATAGGTTATGTTACCTAACTAATGCTGAAGCTGTCACTAGGAGTTAAGAGTTCTACTAGTACTTTATCATTTTTGTTATCATTCTTTTAAAAAAAAGATTTGCTCCTCACGAATCTGTTGAAAGCATCCTTGGATGCTGTAATGTAGATACACTAGTAGAAAACATGGAGACTTTAGGTAGTGCATTGTAAACTGGGCTCAACAACTAGAGTTACGTTCATTAAATGGACAAACAAACCATGCTTTTGACTCCTTTCTTGTTCTGTGTTTGGAATCCTCCCAATTCCCAATCCACTCTGCTACCCCAATTGCTGCCCTGCAGAATTTCTTTAAGCCTTTACATATGAACGAGGCTGTGCCATCCTCCGTAGTATTCGCCCGCTCCCTAATGTCGCTAGCTACAATGTAACAGGGGTTCCGGAGCGGCAAACTACTTTGGAGCGGACCAACTCCAATGCATTGGCATGTTATATCTCTACTCTTTCCAGTCGCCTCCCAAAGCCTGGGAGAGGCTACACTGAATTCTGCTTGGAGATTACTGAATAACATAAAGGACTCAAAAATAAGAAATTACACTTAGAAAACAAATCTCAGACTTTATTGAATAGATATGATCAAAACTTTGATGTTTATATGAAGGTTAAATTCATCATCAAAATACTAAATGTTACGCGGTTCCACCAACAACTTTATTTGTATGCTTTCTGTGACTAATGTTTACCGTTACATCCAAGACATTTTGTACAGACATGCCCACTTGAAACCACTTTTCGTAACTGGTAAACTCCTGGTGGTCTTTCTCTCTTCTGCGGTTCCGGCTCCTCAAAAACGGACGAAAAGGACGACTTTCGTACCCTTTTCACTGATGCGTTTGTGGGATTTTGCGACTTTTTCCCAACAGGAGTCGGCTTTTCGATGAAATCACCCGATTCAAAGCCAAAAATGCCCGAAGTGATTCGACTTTTGGGGATTCGTAAGATGAGGTCACCTCTGTATGAACTGTCGTTACTGCAGTCCGAACTTGATGTGACACAAGCACTGACGTCTACAGAAGAGTTTCTTTTCTTTCTTGGGGAGCGTTTCGGTATTGCATGTCTACGCCCGTTTCTAGGAGACATATCAGATGAACGTTTCTTCGTACGCTTTCGAGACATCGATCGTCGTTCTTTGGATGGCGTAGACTTTCGAGCCTTACCTGGAAGAATGTAAAAGAAAATTGCCGTCAAGAAAGAGAAATGTGCCTATGTCGTCGCATAAAATGTCGATATCAACAAATAGAAATGCATTCGTTCGACATTTATTTCTGCCACATTGATTGATACAAGCGCCATTGAAAACCCAAATGAAAGGGGCATGTGACGAATTAGAAAAAAATCTGTATCTGTATCGTTATAGCCGGTATAACCGCCCCTCGGCGTAACGCACCAGCTTCGCAGGCACGCGGCGCAGCGGCAGCTGGCTACATCACACCGATACACCTAAAACCCTTAAACATCTAACTCTAAACATTGTTTAAAGCTATCTAATGATAATGTCCCTACTGTACTTGGTGACAGCGAGTTCCACTCTGCGATAGTTTTAGGAAAGAATGATTTTTGAATCCGTTGGTTGATAACTCTGGTATATATATGTACCTGAAGTACATATTGCTACTTCTTGTTCTCTTCTGGGCTGGACCTCAAAAGTGGAGCCACTCGCAGTTCTATTTCGATCGATCTCAGTTTGGAGATTGTGGATCCTTTTTTAATGGATTCAATCCAAGTCCCCTCTGTACTCTGTCAATGAAATCCATATAGAACTATTCACCTTTTTTGCCCGATCTCGATCCCAGGACCGCTCTCGTTCTCACCCTGACGGAGCCTCGCCTGAGAGACTCCAGGAAGTCTATGCTCCTCTGTAAGGCCCGTCTCTGTGGACAGTCGTCTTCTAACTTGTACACCTGGATTCTGGTGCTGGTGATGGCAGCGTCCAGACCATGCTGGATGTATGGGATCATGATCAAGTTTATTCTCTGCTGGTGTCTCTATAGACAGATTCTATAGCTATTGCCACTTATACATGTATATATGCTAGGTGTACAGTATTGTTGTAAAAGCTTTTAACATCAACTAAATAACCTATTTCCACCCTATAAAATGTGTAAATGCGATCTTTTAAACACCATAGCGTTTGTTTAGAAGTGATTTGTAATTTGAAACTCTTGTACAACGAGTGGATCTTTACAACCAGTGCAAGTGTATGTCTGTATTTTACCGTATGCGTATTGTAGTTCGTGTAGAAGAAAACACAGTTAAACGTACGTCCACACTAAGTTACATCACCTGAAAGACGAACAAAAAGCATTTAAGTGTAAATCGTCAAAATAATCCCCAACCAACCATTTATCTGCTTGGAGCATTTATCTGCTACGTCATTTGTACCTTGAGTGCCTCCACCCGTTCAGCTAACTTCCGTCTCTCCTTCTTCAGTATTCGTGACGTCTGTCCGTCAATATCGTTAATAAGGTTATCGAGGTAGTCCCAATTTAAATCTGCCGCGGTTCTGGCGAACCGTGAACCGGTTAGCGCCATTGGTGAGATCTGTCTGCCTGTATAGCTATCGTTTGTGGCCTGGGATCCTTCTATACGCACAGAATGTATAAAAGGGCACTGTCCGTGGTGCTGAACGAGTGTTAGCACGGTGTGTTGTGGAACAAACAGCGTCTTTTGAAGACACGCGTTCTTTAGAACGGCACATGCTACCCGGGCAACGAAGTTTCCAGGCACCGTTTCTAAGCGGCACCTTAGTGACGACATAAAAACAACACAACTCGTACCCAACTCTGGAAACTTACCCGCGCTGAAACAAGGAGGGCCGTGTCTGGAGCAACTTCTTTAATCTTGAAGGCCTAGCCTCCATGGACCTCTAGCTATAGGCTTTCATCTGCTCCTAGGTGACTCACCATGTCCAACTTACAACTCACCAGTCCAGAAAGTTTCCTCTGTAACACTTGGTCTTCCATGGCCCTTTGCAATTCGTTAGTATCATGCAGGTCAGTGTCACATCGCTGGTTGTCTAAGTAGGTGACTTTGGGTCTCCATCTACTTCTTTTTCCCTTTGCAGTAGGCTCCCAAAGAACCAGAGGTGATGCAGGATTCTAGCTGGAATTTCTAGAGCAGTGACCAGCCAGTTTCATTTTGCACTGTTGTATTTTCTTGGTCTCAGGTGGCAGATCGTGGTAAAACTGCTGGTTTGTTAACTTTTGCTGGCATGAGACATTAAGACACATGTCCAAAAGACTAGATAATCCTGGTACTAAACCATCAGCACTTAATGTTAAATTGTTGTTTTTCCTAAACATACAGATGAAAATTTCTTGTTGCATACTATTGCATTTTGTTTCATCATTTATTTAAAAAATGGACCCCACTTCAAATCTATCTCATAATACAGTTACTGTATGAGAAATAAAAAAAACAATTGTTGAAATCTAAAAATACTTTTTATTTACATGGTCACATCGTTTAACGCTCAGGATGTTGAAGTAGCTATTTGGCAACCGATTCTTTATTGGCTAGGCGGTTAGGCAGCAGGAAGAAGGTTAAAAAGATGTATACTATCAAAGGATAATACTAGCAGTCAGGTACTAAGGTATTTTCTCTCCTTTTTGTCTAAATGTCTCTCATCGAGTGTGTCAGACTCAGAGTTTTTTCCTGTCATCTCTCTGCAATTATTGCTAAGTTTCGTGGTGAGATTCTGTCGTCGAATATGGGGCTGACTTTAGTCTTCAGCCCCTGCTCCTGTAGATACAGACACCTGTCCACTGTCACCAGAGTCTCCAGAACTGGCTGGAGAAGGACTTGTAAAGCCTGAAACAAAAACAAAAACAAGACAGAAATTGAAGTTTCACATTCTATTGGTGCCTCTATCTGTATCTGTATCGGTATAGCTGATATAACCGCCCTTCCGCATAACACACCAGCTTCGCAGGCACGCGGCGCGGCGGCAGCTAGCCATATCACACCGAACGACTTGCTACACTCAATCTTTGCACATTTAATTGCAGGAGTTGTCTAAAGCTTTCTAGTAATGATGCCCCAACTGTGCTTGGTGGCAACGAGTTCCAGTCTACGATAGTTCTGGTATCAGATACAGATCTATGAATGAAGAACTAGAATTACACCAATACACTTTGTCTTGTCATGGTCTTGTAGATTGGGTTGAGAAGATTAGTCCAAAGAATTGAATATTGAGAATAGCAATCATAACAATAAGGATTACATTGGTGAATGTTAAAAAGTTTTATTTCTATTCAGCCTAGCTCTCTACTTACTGTGATGACTTCTATGTAGGGGAAGAATTTTTCCCATTGGTCATGTGACTGCTGCAAAGCATCATTGTAGTTCTCCCAGTCTTCTGTAGTCTTTTCATCTGGAATAAGTAAAAAGGAATGTAAAAATATTATCATAGCCAACACCTTTCCAGAATGAACAAAGCAATTCAAGACAAAGGGGAGAGAGGTCTTATATATTGTGGCAAATTTTGGTCTGAGAAACATACAGAAAATTTTAAAATGAACAATTTTGTAGCATGAAACATGAGGAAATCTCTTTTGCTAAACTACTTTTACTTTTTAAAAATGCATCATTTCACAATAATATGAGAGTACAAAAAATTGTGTGTGTTGAGAATATTTTAATCTCTTTATAATGTCTCTTCACAATGATATCAAGATTTAGCTCAACATACTGTATACCTGTACCTGAATGAAGTGTAAGTCTGCCAAATATTGCCTCACGGTATGCAGGGAAGGACTGGAAAGCATCTTTTCTTGTAACCTTCCTCTTCAGTTTCTGAATCCCTTTGCCACCTCAAGTGTGAAACAAAGAAAAATTCTTTAGAACAACAATAAAAATAACAACAAACATGCCAAAAAGCAGATCTTTTGGCGGTGGCAAGACAGTATAATTTGCAGGGCAGTATCAAATACAGTATGCTGTGAAAAAAGAGTACAAAAGTACAAAGAAGAAAGCCTCATAAAAATGCCTAGAAATACATAAAATTAATCCGAAGCAGTATTCAGCACCAAGGACATGTCATGTAAGATCCATCCAAAAGCTAAATTGAATGAATACACGTAAAGATTGACATTTGTTTGCAAACTGTTACATTGCTCTAGTAGAGTTATACCCCAGCACAAACTCATCAAAAACTACTAGATTTCTAAAACACACGTATGGTTTACCTGTGGTCACCACATGTTCAAGAACTGCCCTGTACGCTACACTCCTGGTGTGGAACTGGTGGTCCTCATGGGTTTGACATGCCCATCTAAAAATCAACACGATTGGTTAGTTTGAATTCTAACAGTTACTTTTCAAATTTCAAAATGTACATGTTAATAGTTAGGACTCTTAGATTTGTATCAAATAGGAAAATTGCATTGTCTCTATACTATTATTTCCTGGGAGACAGTGGCAGAAGTTGAAGCTCACCTGGCCTGGGTTTCCTGTGCTGCTAGTCTCATAGCAAACACATTCAGCTGCCAGTCAGGAAATTCTGTTCCAACTTTCTTTAACGTCTCTCTCACTGTACAGCTCAGGGGGAAGTTTGTGAAGCAAGATGGTCGACTGTCAGGCTCTGAAATGTAAAATCATCAGATGGTCATCAACAATCATTATCTTGATTTTTTGTTGCTTCTTTTCATTCATCCTTCTTTATTCTTTATTTCAGGTGCAATTGGCCCATAGTAGACAAACAATTAAGATAACAAAGTGCACACATAGTAAAAACGGTAGGGTTCGGTACATATACAAACGAGAAGGGCCTTACCGGTAGACTAGGCCGATATAGTGATCCCAGTAGTGACTGGTGGATGATATGTCTGAGTGGATTGCGAGTTTTATGATTCTGTTATTACTGTTAAGGAGCCGATTGGTGAAAGAGTGTGTTAGTTTACTTCTGGCTACAAGTGAGCTCTTATTGGTAGTTTTGGGAATCGTAATGGTTCTTTCAAGTTAGAAGAGCCACAAGCTATCAGTAAGGAGCTAGGCCGAATCAGCCCCTGACAGCAAGAGATTGTGTAACACAGGCTACATACCTATCATGAAAGTTTATCTGTGTTGGTAGTTACATGTTTAGAGGTAAAACCTTTGTTCCAACACAAAAGGGAAATGTTCTCAACTAGAGCTTTCGACCAGTCACTCTGGTCTTCCTCAGGTTTTCTCTGAATTGTGACTGGGTCAGTCTACTGAGTATTACGTCTAAACAGGCTACCTACCTGTTATACTCATCCCATGATAACAGCAGCTGACACACACCAAACAGCTCAGTCTCTCCACCGATGTGAACATCTTTAACATGGTTGGACACAGGTCCCCACAACAGTGCAGTCCCACCATACATGTGCCATCTCTTCTTCCATTGTTTCTGTTACAAACATCAGTTTGACCTTGGTCTTGTGAAGCTGGCTGTTGTAGGGAACTGATGAGGAGTTCAAGGTCGTGGATGCTACTTGAGGTGTCGTCAAGTTTGAGGTTCACTGTCTGGATTTGCGTGTCCATGTCTCTGCCTGCATCAGAAAACAAAACTGTTTGTTTGACATTGTCTATTTGTGGGATACTCAATTGGCCTGCTAGCTGCTTTTCATTGAGGTCATGAGGGAAGATGTCAGACAAAGTATACAAACATACCGTTACATGATTGGAGTCCAACCAAATCTAAAAACTTATCTAGACGTACAGAGTCTAATTATCAATATCACTTGGGAAACAATAGCTTGCACTTGTATTATTTCAGTAATGAAATATGATACATGGCTTACACCACGTCTTCTCATACTAAAATATTATGTGGAAAAATAAAGGTGATATCTTATTCTAACTAAGGCAAATATTGATCAGAAATAAAAATGCAGTTCATTCCTTCATGCAAATGACATGTAGTTATTCCCAGGAACACCACATTTTGAAGATGCAGGTTTTGTCACAGTTGGTGTGAAGAAAGTTTGCACAGTGCAGCAGCGCCACCTTGTGATTTGATCCGTCTCTGCGCCCCATGCACATGGCTGGCCTGCGCCTCCACACCAACCACCTGCAGCCCACACTGGTGGTGTAACACCTGTCCCAGGTAACCCTGAAACAAACCAGCAGAGAAGTCTTGCAAAATAAAGTAAGATGGTACAAATGTACTGCACAGAAGCTCCACCTAGTGACTTTATCCATCACTGCAGTCCATGCATGTGGCTAACCTGTTATGTCTCTCCTATGTAAACTCACAACTGAACAACAGAAAGGTCTAATCTAATCATTTCCTGTAGTATTCTGCTGCAGAAACTAAATGACAATTAATCAAGTATAACCCAAATCAATTTTCTCATACAACATCAAAGCAAAGCAAAAAGTTTAAGCAATGTCTGAGCCACGATACTTGCTACTTACCAGTCCTGAGCCTATGTCTATAACACTGCTGCATGATGTCCTACTGCATGAGTCTCTTACTACAGATGCCAGATAAGAAACCTGAAAAGAACATGGCAAGGTGTTAAAAAGGAAGTCCTAGGAATCATATAAATATATATGATTTCTAGGACTTCTTGTTTATTTTTACTTTCCATTATTGGAAAATAGGGAGAATAATGGTGGATTCTTATGTTCACAGCAGTAAACTTTTACCAAGCCCACTCCACTGTCTCGTCTCCTTCAAATAATTGATGCGAGAGTGCAGATAATTATTTTCTAATAGTAAAAACCCTGTAAATTACTTCTTTACTTGGGTTTAATTTAGGAGGCATTTAATACCCTTGTGTGCAGACGTAATGGCGAATCTCCTTTTTGCTTTTTTTCAAGTTTGTCTGACTTTAATTGGAAAACAGTTGGAAAACAAACCTCATGTTCTTTCTTCGGTGTCATGCCCCTTGCTACATCCTTGTTGATCTCCATGGCAACTAGGTCATGTGACTGTTGCCTTGGTAACGCCAGGGACGCAGCATCCTTGACAAAGGCCCTCAGAGAGGTTGGCCAATCATCTTTTGTGCGTCCACTGGGCAGGTGGTTTAGGTCATCAGTAGAGAGGGATAGTAGAGGTTTTCTCCACTAGACATATGCAGAGAAAGTTCAAAGTTTTATATTAAACGGCAGAGCATTTGGCTCAAAACCAGGAGGTTCCGGGTTCAAATCCTACCATATGCATGTTTATTAATACCAACCTTGTTTCCTTGGAAAAGGCACTTTACACGACTTTCCTCACTTCGCTCAGGTGAAAATGAGTATGCCATATTATATATGATCATTATCATGATCATGGGCATTAAAAGAAAAACCAAACAATATTATCAGCCGGGTGTTCCTGCCAATAAGAATTTTTTAAGACATTCAATAAGAATTTTTTTTACTTTTGACACGATGTTGCTAATTCAACGTAGCATGCTGTACTGTCTAAGACTCTAACTGTAACACAGATGATGTGCCACACCTCTTCCGGGATTTTCTCCCAAATTTTCTCGACGAAAAAACGAGTCAGTTGGAAGTTGTAGACCCATTCGTGCTCAGCGAGGAGCCTGCACATCCTTTCCACATACTCTCCGGTCCCAGTGTCCTTGTAACGTGGAGAAATAAAGCAAAAATCGCCAAAATTCGCCATGAAGTCCTTCGCTACTTTGTTTTGGCACATTTCTCGGGGTCAAAGGTTGTAGCTTCCGGTGACCTTTATGGCGATACCAATAATTCTTAGGGGGTTTCCATGACTCTGTTTAAACTTCTCTAAAAAACTTACAAAAAGCAGCGATGTTATATTTTTGTAGTAATTTTTATTCTATATGTAATAAATTTTACAAAATCTATGCTAATTTGATAAAATGGATCATCTTTTTGATATAGACTTATGTATAAAACAATATTGTTGTCCCTGAAAACACAGTGGTATGTTCTAAGTGGGAAAAATTTGGCGGGAGAAAAGACAAGATTGCATCGGACATTTTTTTCTGTCGTCTTTCTCGCGTTTCTCCCTAAAATGGTGACCGAGTCGCAAGGTTCGGAAGACTTGACGGTTCCTAGCGACTTCTTCAAAGATGTGAAGTACTTCTTATGCGGCAACATCAGCGATCAGGTGAGAAAAAATACTCTCAGTGTTAGGTGGGGAGGGGGGCTTTGGGCTTTGTCTTTCGCGGGGTTTTCATGATCAGACGTTCTTTTGGTACCTTGATTCTTAAAAAAAAATTATGTACGATAAAAATGATGTAAATTCATGATATTACATTCATATGGCTTTCACATTTCCTTTCTATTCTTCTAGATTTTGATTTTTAACCTCCACTCAGTAGATCAAATTAGGCATTTTATTGCAATGATATGATAATAATCATAAATTGGTCTTGTTGACCCAAGTGCTGATGATAACAGTTGAAAGATTTGGTCGAAAATTGTATAAAGAGTTGGAGAACAATTTAATATTTCATTATGTAAATTGTTATTCAGATGAACTTAATTTATGGTACAAACTCATCAATGTGTGTATTTTATTATGAACAGGTACAGAAGTTGTTGCGTCAGGGCGGTGGGAAGGAGTACTCGTACCTCACAGATCTCGCCACTCACGTCATCGCAGACAACGAAGATTACCCAGAAGTCAGCGAGGCAAGGGAGGTGTACGACCTCCCAGTTGTCACGGTAACAACTTTCACTCTTTTATGTTTCTTCTTTTCATCATGAATATCTGAGTTGAGTGAGGAAATGGATTTTTCCTTTCCTTGGCCTTTCCTAAGGATACAACAATGGGGACTTCAAGAGATTAGAACTCAGGACCTTTAGATCATTCACCAGAGAGTCAACAACCCTAACCACAAGAACACCATGCCATGGGGTTTTTCTAAACAAAGTGAGAGCATTGTAAGATGTAATCACTATATAGGTGCTTAAGATGCACAAAATTATGTGCATTACATGCATGGTAGGAATTTGGAAAAGTTGCTTGTGATGTTAACTGCCTTTTCTTATTCCCCCCTCCAGCCAAAATGGGTGATCCTGTCAGCTAGATGTGAACGTCTTCTACCGTATCCTTTACTGAGAGAGTTACTGCTATGTCTGTATATTTTGTTTTGTACAGTAGGAATTATACACTTGTAGTCTTGCAGTTTAAGAGGAAACTGCTACAGTTCATTTCACCATTGTATGATGGTAAACACAAGATGAAAATATTGTTTGAAGAATCCAAGATTTTTTCTTAACACTATGTGTCAGGCACAAGGCCTTCACTCCAGAAGACAACAAACTGTTCTCAGGTCTAGTCTTATGTCTATCACAGGTGAGAAAAATCTTTCTACATTTTCTGTTATGCCAAAATACATGGTGCCTTTCCTAAAGGCTGCTAGGGATTCAAACCCATAACCTTCAGTTTCAATTTGAGAACCCTAACCACAGGTCCAACTTGCCACTTTCATATGTACACAGATAGATTTCATCTTCAAGAAGAGAAGACAAGAGAATTATGACTGTTTACAATTGCAATTTTTTAGACAAATGTCCTTGCATGCATCTTCAGGTACAAATGTATATACTTGGAATGAGTGAGTACTAGTAAGTAAGAGACTTGAAATATTTCTGAAAACGGTTTGTAAAAGAATAAACATGATCTTATTTTTCAGATTCCAGAAGAGGACCGCAAGGCATTGTGGGGTATGGTGACCTTCTATGGCGGGAACTGTCAGCTGAACTTCAACAAGAGATGTACACATTTAGTCACACCTAAACCTGAGGGGGTGAGCACGCTTCATGTACCTGCTGCTCTTACATGTATTGCACAACCTCCCTCCTGTTTAACCTAGATACTAGTATTTGGATATTATCTTGTTGTGATTCATTACTAAGGATGTCAACTCTATGATATGAAATTATGGTATAGATGAACTACATCTTCTTGCGTCTCTACATGTTTGAAATAGAGATAATATTATGATACTCATACTGTAATTATCATAATCATTTCAATTGATGTTTTTCAGGCAAAATATGAGTGTGCGCTAAAACACACAAAGATCAAGGTTGTGACACCAGACTGGATTGTCGAAAGTCTCGCTCAGAAAAAACAACAAGAGGAGGAGAAATATCACCCCAGGCTTGTCATCAAGGAGGAAAAGAAAGAACCTCCCCCAGCCAATCAGGAGGAAGAACCCATGGACACCCTTCCATCCTCAGCCAATCAGGGTGAAGCATTGATGGGACTTGACCAATCAGGACTGAGCTTAGATGGCAAGAAGAAGGTCGAGGCCCCAAGATTGTTGAATCTGTTGAACAAGAGTGCTTGTGACCAGACCCCCCCTGATCACAGGTCACTTGGTAGAGTCCAGTCACCGTTGGTTACCAACAGGAGGATACGGGACATCACGAATAGCGGTCACATTGACGCAAGTGGAACCAAACTTGTTCTCAGTCCACGGGACTCCACAAAGGTAACTTGGATTGAATTTAGGATGGAAAAGAAAGAAAGAAGTTTACCTTCGAAGAAGGAAAACATATTGTTTTTGCTCAGTTTCTGCTTCTCCAAACAAATTAAGTCTATGACCTTGTCCAGATGTCTGTCACCATGGCAACTAGTACTGTAGGAGTGTGGGAGGGGCTGATCACCATACACATGTGTGAATGTGTTTGAGTAAGAATAAACAGTGCAGTAGTTTGTTGGGATAGACCATTTGAAGGTAAACAGCATGCATTTGCTTTGCAAATGTTACCTTTCTAGTTTTGAGTAATTTTAGTTTTTCCTTTTCCGTGCAGGTCCATGAGACGATCCAGATCTCCCAGCTAGACGACACGCCTCCGTTCCTGAAGGGTGATGGGGAGTTGTTGGAGTACCACGGGCATGATCCTAAGATAAACAGTAAGGGTCTCTTCTCTTTAATCATGTGACATCAGTATTTATCTGTCATCTGCCATGCAGACAAGACTACCTAACAAGCCTCAGGGCTAGCCTTAAACCTGCATTATGTAACATTAGAATAAAAAGTATATTTCTGATCAAATGGAGTGCACCTTGTGTAAGCTGTTTTAACGGCAACTATGAATGTCAGAAATATGAGATATAAATGTGAAATATGTTAAAAAGTAAATTACAATCACATGAAGATTTTTTTAATTAAAATATTTCAGTTTTTGGTGCGAAAATGTTACATAATTCCCCTTTAAATATACATGTAGCCAGATTGGAAAGGATATTTTTGGCACTACTTGTATAGAACTTGTCTTACTAACAGGTTGATATGACTTGTAGACTAAAGTGCCTTTTCCACCCCCAGTTCCCCCTGACACCTGTCTGCTGGGCTGTATCTTTGTGATAGTTGACTATCAGGACCAGGTACTACCTGCACAGCTGGAGACATGGACTAGGGTGGGTACATCTACAGATACAGAGCTTTCTTCGCTTATTCCTTTGTATTTCCCTCTTTTTTACTTCCAATTCTTATTAGCAGCATTTTCTTTTTCTAACTTCTTCTTTTCTTTCATGATATTTCTCTCTTTCTGTCAAATCCTTTCTATTCCATTCTTTCAATTCTCCTCTTGTTCGTTTCTTCCATTTCTCTTTGTGTTCTTTTCATACCTGCTCTGTTTTGATTGAAAGTACTCGTATGGACTGATTGCAATAATTACTCCATCTGCTAGGTGGTGCACCAGCATGGTGGTTTTGTCGATCCAGGCTACTCCCAGCGGTGCACCCATTTACTGTGTGACAACCAGGCTAGTCCATTCTTCAAACAGGTAAGTCCTTCTTGTCACCATGTCTGTCACCATGTTAACTGGTGTTGGGTTACATTATGTTGCAATTTTTTAGCAGGAGGGATTTGGACTCCTAACGCCATATATATTAATGTGTTTGAGTAAGACTTAACAGAGCAGACGATATGTAAAGGTAAACATTATGCATGTTCTTTGCAAATGTTACCTTTCTAGTTCTTAACTGAAGTTTCTTTAACAACTGTTAGGCCCAGCAGGATGGTAAGAGGTGCGTGACAGCGTACTGGTTAAACGATGTCCTGACCATTAGGAAGATGGTCCCACCATGGAAGGCTCTCCACCTGCCAACACCGTTCCCACACAGTATCAAACCCTGCAATGGACAGGTCAGAGTCATTTGTTGATTGCTTGTTGGTTGCTGAAGAGATTTTATGTCCCTAGATTATTTAATCATGTAGAGGAAGATATGTTACCATGTTTGACTTTGAAAAATCTATTTTGTTTGTTACTATTAGCATGGTTGTCATCTTATTTGTATACCAGGGCTCCCATACTTGCTACCTAAAAATTACAGAATGAATATGGGAGTCCTGGTATACACTTGAATGTATCAGAAATGATCCAAAATCACATATTTTGGCAGTACCTTAGGGTTGGAGCTAATAGTACTAGTACATGTACCTTACCACCTTTTTTTTATTTCAACATCTAAACAGAACAATACATAGTAGTGGTGATGCACTCAAGTGAAAAAGCTTACACGTATATCAATGTCACCACTAGTACTGGATATAAAATTACTTCCAGATGTTGCAGTTTTTGTAAACGTTTGTTGTGTTTGTTTCCCAGATTATTGCAGTGACCGGGTTTGTTGACCAGGACAGAGAGAACCTGAAGATGATGATATCTCTGGCCGGTGCTAAGTACACAGGGAGCTTCAGTCGATTTAACACAGTTCTCATATGTAAAAGGTGAGCAGGATTTAACACTAGCACACATCAGCATTCATTGCATCTCTAAACTTTCATACACATTTATTGTTTGAATAGTTTCAGAATTCAGGTTAGGAAATCTGATAGCTACTTTGATGATAAACCTTAAGGTTGGCATGTAGTGACTATTTAAAGTAGCCAAAAGTTGCCTTATGACAGGACTATCTTTAACTGTTTAGAAATGCTCTTTAATCTGTGACAGAACTATCTTAAACTGTTTAGAAATGCTCGGAAGCCAGTTTATACATACAAAAGGCTTCTCGAGTCGCCACGGCTAGGTTAAATGTAACTTTTTGCTGCTTAATCACACATTTCATTTTTTTTTCTTAAAAGATATAGTCATTCATAAAACAGGGTTTGCGTGGCCTAATCTGTACTCTCTCTTTTTCCCTCAGACCAATTTATCATGATTCTTATCCAAAGTTTTGGTTGGCATGTAGTCACTGTGTTTAAAGTAGCCAATAGTTGCCTAATAGCAGGACTATCGTTAACTGTTTAGAAATGCTCATTAGTCAGTGACAGAACTATCTTAGAACAGTTTAGAAATGCTCTGTTTAGAAATGAACATGGTTTGTGTAGCCTAATCTGTACTCTTTCCTTTTCTCCTCAGGCCTGAAGGAGAGAAACACAAAAAGGCGTTGGAGTGGAGAACTCCGTGTGTGAATGTCCAGTGGCTCAGTGACATCATCCTGGGAAACTTCGACGCCATCAAACAGACGGGGCTGCCGAAGTACCAGAGCTTCTCCGCTAACGAACCTTTCCTACTGGACTATCACTACGTTAAAGCTGTCATGGGTGAGTGCTGGCATGTTTATTCTAGTTATGTTTACCTTTGCAGAAGGAAAACATATTGCTTTTGCTCTGTTTCTGTTTCCTTCTTTTCTTCTTCACCAAACAACACACTGATCATATGCGAAGGTAAACATTATGCATTTGCTTTGCAAAGTTACCTTTCTAGTTTCTAGATCATTTTTCATCTTTTTCAGAAGCAGGTGTAGCAGGCTGGAATGTACCCTGGTCTTCAATACACCCCCGGGTACATTCTGACCAGGGGAGCATTCTGACATGCTACACCTGTACATATTTGTACACAACACAGATATATGATACACGTTAATACATGTGTAAAGCTCAGGCAGAAAAAAGAGAAAAACGGAATCATTAATTCCAATTTCAATCTGATGTGACAGATTGTAATTAAACTTTTTGTAGGCCCCTGGATGACTGCGTTGCAGCTATCCCAAGATGCCTTGCAGAACCTGAGCAGGAACCGTGTCCTCTTCACACCATCGCCGCCCTCCAAGTCGAAGAGGAAAGGTTCGCAGGACGGGAACGGCACCAACAAACGACAGCGGAACGAACCCATCAAGCCCTTCAGGAGGCTGCCTCCAGAGAAAACTCCCAGGGTGCTTTTCACCGGACTGGACAACGCAAGTGTCAATGACCTCACAACGGTAAGCATGCATGTACCTGGTTTTCTGCTAAACTAAAGTACAGACAGCAGTCCTGTATTCTATCAAATATAGATAGAGATCCTATGACAATTTTATGAATGAACAAGTATGAAAGTTGTACATGAAGTGCACAGTACCCTCAGCACAGTAAAAATGCTGATGTTTGCAAATGAAGCCTTTTTTTGTCACTGATGATAAGAATGATAGGAATTCTGTATGTACCAAACAGCTGGAATGTTTAGCAGACTTTAGGCTTAGTCTTTGTTATCCTTTTTTAAAAATTGGTGTCTTTGACCAATCAGCAGACTTTTAACTAATGTCCATGTCTATGCCATTGCCTCCCAACAGAAAGTGCAGCTGATTGGTGGAGAGATAGCGGAGAACATCCACAAGTGTACCCACCTGGTGTCGACCAAGGTGCTGCGGACGGTCAAGTTCCTGTCAGGTGTCTCCACCTGCAGGTTCATCGTCTCACCTGCATGGGTCGAGGACAGCTTCAAGCACAGGTGCTTCGTCGGTAAGGAGACAGCTGCAGTTTGTTGTTGTTTGTGTTTTGTGTGTGTTCGTGTTTGTGTGTGCATGTGTGTGTGTGTGTGTGTGTTTGTGTGCGGGTTAGTGTGTGTGTGCAAGAGGAGTTAGTGTGCGTGTGTGTTTGTGTGTGTCACTGTTTGTCTGAATGTGTGTGTGCATGCATATGTGTGTGTTCAAGAGAGTATGTGCACGTGTGTCACTGTGTGTGTGTGCTTCGTTTGAGAGAGTTAGTTTGTGTGCGTGTCACCGTGTGTGCGTGTGTGCATGTGTGTCACTGTGTGTGTGCATAATTATGTGTGTCACTGTGTGTGTGTGCGTGCGTGTGTTTATATGTGTGTGCGAGAGAAAGTTAGTGTGTGTGTGAGTGTGTATATAGGCCGTAGTCTGAGGACCATATGATAAAAAGTACCTGTATTATCCTTACATTTTTATAGTTGAAGTTTATATCCTGTTCTCTTTCCTTTCCAGAGGAGAAGATGCACACGTTGGTAGATCAGGAGCAGGAGGCACAGTTTGGCTTCAGTCTGTCAGAATCTCTGACCAGGGCACGGGTACAGAAACTGTTCAAGGTACGTACTACAGACACTTCACAGAAGTATTCACATGTCTAAACAACATGTATAGTAGTAGTAGTAGTGCTAGCAGTAGTAGTAGCAGTAGCAGTAGTTGTAGCAGTAGTAGTACATGTAGTAGTTAGTAGTAGCAGTAGCAGTAGCAGTAGCAGTAGCAGTAGCAGTAGCAGTAGTAGTAGTAGCAGTAGCAGTAGCAGTAGTAGTAGTAGTAGCAGTAGTAGTAGTAGCATGTTCTGCTCCAAGTGTACTGTTTTAACCACCAGGCCCACTTGTTTTACAGGACACATGTTTTTACATGACTCCCAATGTGATTCCCAGACTGGACATGATGAAAACTATAGTTGAGGCAGCAGGGGGGAAGGTCGTAGGGACCAAGCCTCCTGTCAACAGGGTGTTGGCTTCACGACAGGTAAGGCTTTCATCTAGGGGTGCGGTCAAATGGTCAAGTGGCTAGGCTAGCAGACAGGAGATTGAGAAGTCATGGGTTTGATTCCTGGCTAGATGCTGTGTCCTTGGGAAAGGCACTTAAACACAATTCTCCTCACTCCACACACTTGTAAAATGGGTACCTAACTTTGGTTGGGGAGGTAACATACTTTCAAGGATTGACTCTTGTGTATTTTTTCCAGGGTTCACCAAGGATTTTTGTCATTACCTGTGAGAGTGATGTTCAGATGTGTGCTGACTATGCCAGTAACAACATCGGTAAGATTGCATGTATTTCTTATTATTGATTCATGCATTGATTCTTCTGTCATTCTTTCATCCATCCATCTATCCATCCATCCAATATCTCAAAACATGAACATATCTGAGCTTTGTGTAGCACATATACATGTAATAGTTTAGATGTTAGGATTTTACTTCAGGTAATTATAAGAAGTTTATATCTTAGCTTTTAATGTAGATATTACATTTTAATAGGACAATAGTATATTCAAACATAATTGTATAATGATGTGTATGCTCACCATTTCTATATTTTGACTTTTCAGATGTCTACAGTGCTGAGTTCATCCTTACTGGAGTATTGTGTCAAAAAATGGACTTTGAGTCGTACAGGTTTTAGTTTCTTTGCATGATCGATTACGTTTGTAAATGTTGGGGCATGTTTTAATCTTGTTAGGGTAGGATTTCCATGTAAAATAACTGTTACAGTAACATAAGGGCTTGCGTGTAAACTTGCAGATCTTGGTGTACAGAATTTACATAAACATTCCAAAACATTTAGTGTTTGAACTATATTAAGACTTAAAGCGTGATGAAATTAATAACCTTTGCCACAAAAAGGATTTTACACTTTTCCACAGGTTTGAGTTTGGATTGTTTTTATTTATTTTGATTGTAGTGAAAGCACTTTACAAACATGAATAACAACAAATAAGAAAATGTGCTGGAGTTAGAAAAAAAAACTATAATGGCATCTTTGATCGAGACCTTTCCCCATCTAACTTTACAGCTGATATTTAGATATAATTCTAACAGTTTTGGGGTTTGACTAGTACAACAATCGTGTTCCATATTTAGCAATATTCAGATAGACTTGCACTATGCATCCTGACATGATTTTGTATTCCCCATGGCCCAGTATAAAAGTTCAGCCATTTTACTATACTAGTATTGTGCAAGTTACTGCGAGGCATTCCCTTGCAGTTGATAAAAAGATACACATAAATTAGTAAAACGTCAAACAAAGGCATAAAAACTGCTAGATTTTGGGCAGGTCTTTGATGGGGAAACTGTTTTTAATTGTTTTAGAAAATGTTAGAAACCCAGTGGATTTCACTGACTCTGTTGTACATGTACATATACGTAAAACTCTTATTGTACAACATGTTTAAGTTTGTATATGAGGCATAGGTAGCAATGCCGAGGTAATTTTCTAACTATTCATACTTCTAACTTTTTCTCTTGTCCATTTTTGTATGATTCAAGACTAGAAATAAATTGAAGAATATTAAATGCAGTCTATCATTTACCATGATACGCATGTTGTCATGTTGTAGCACTTTATTAGCCATGTTGCGAGGTATGAACTTGGAAAAATCCCCATGCATGAAATATATTTTTACACATTGATTAGCTACATCTAAGTTAACTGCTGCACAGTATTATAACCTTTAATTATAACCACACCAAAATAGCCATTTGGCTACTAACTGCCTATAACCTTAGAGTATTAGATATTCAAAGCAAATGTCAGATAATCTATTTCACGGAGTATTACCTCCTTTGTCAAAATCTAAATCCAGACACAAGTTCTGTAGGAATGGATATTACAATATGCCAATAATGTAAGCATTGCTACGGCTCAAACAAACAAACAAACAAACAGTAAGTCCAGGTGACACCAACATTGCTGTGAAGACCCAGATGTTGCCACTGCATCAACCTAAACAACAAAAAATGAAGAGCGAACATATATCATATTAAAAGCGAACATATATCATATTAAAAGCGAACATATATCATCAGTTGAGTAACCTTAGACACTGGAATAAAATATATACATATGTAATTGATCCATAATTTGAAGTTCGGCTCTTGATAAAGCATGGTTTTGGATAAGGCATGGTTCTGGATGAAGCACTGTTCTGGGTAAATCATGGTTTAGGATAAAGCATGGTTCTGGATAAAGCATGGTTCTGGATAAGGCACAGTTCTGGATAAGGCATGGTTCTAGATAAAGCACATTCTGGATAAAGCACGGTTCAGGATACAACAAGTTCTTACCACAGACTGGCAGGTCACAATGCTCCCATCTACTGGCAGGGTCCGTGGTGTAGCACCATAGGGCTTGCCAGCCATCAGGATTGCGGCAGTAGTTGTTCCCTGCCAGGTCGCCTGCCGGGTAGTTCCGGGGTGTCCTGTTGTGACTGTGGGGGCTCTGACGGTCCCAGCGCTGGCACGTCCGGCCTGTTTCGGTCACAGCGAGTGTCCCTCGGTAGGACGCTCCATTACCAACCTGGCATGTCTCCTCTGCATGGAAAAAAAGAGTATCATGCTTAAGGCTTTGGAACATGTATCACAACTTGTCGACTTTGGTGTTGGGCCAAATCCTTGAGCTGCCAGACACACGAGAGGTCAGGTGTTTAGGGGCTTGGGTTATGGTTGGGGTTGTTATTAGGGTTAGGGTAAGGGTTAGGATTGGGATCATTGGTAGGTTAGGTTTAGTCTCCCACATCACGACTAAACCCCAAATTTCAGGTATATTAGAAACCCCCAAGTTGTGTTGGAGTCATGTATTTAGCAGGATCATGTATCTGGCTCATATTCTGGGACCTTCAAGCCAATCCCATTTTCTGTAACACTTTCCGTACGTTAGTATTTGATATTGTACGGTATGTTTGGTTTCTCATTTGAGAACATTTCAGAGGCCGTCATACCTGCGTTTGAGAAGACCTGGACCTCGCACATCGTGAGGATGCGGTAACCCTGCAGACGGATGCCGACGTACCGTCCCGTCATCCCCGGGCACCGGATGGACACAAACTTCTCTCTGGTGCTGATCCGATGGTCTCCTCCGCACCTGGGGTTGGCGGTGACGTGGGCGGAGTCCCCGATGTGGATGTGGAAGGGGCTGAGTCGGTCCCTGCAGCAGTCCAGGCGATTGTAGATGACCACCCTGTACATAGTGACAAAGCAATCAGTATTGAGGCAATATTGGGAATCTTCAACACCATATAGAACTAGAAACTGAGAAAGCTCATGAATGCTATCATCTTGACTCATGTTGGTTCATGGCTTGTGAGGGTTAGCCTGTCCAAAAACTCGAAATGACCAATTGTATGGCAGTAGTCCAGGGGAAAGGTGTCATACATTCACCACTGAGATGTGAGCTTGTCAGTTATGCCTTAATCAAATTTCCAAACCGGTGCCCCGCGGGGTAATTTACGGGCTTCTTGGGGGGCTCCAACCAACTAGTTAACTAATGGATCATATTTTGGGGCTCGGTTGGGCCAACATTTGTTTTAAATTTGGACTTGAAATCAGCCTCCAAGCCCGGCCGGGGCTACAGCTTTTATGCAGAATGTGACTCGACTGAGGCATGGATTAACTGGAGCTTTTGTAGAGAAAGGCTTTGTTACTTTCTTACCTGTTTACTTGGTACGTTTGTCCGAGATCCACCCACCACGTGGGGTTATACGATCCCGGTCCCCAGGTGTGTGTGCACGATCCACCGTTAAACTGGCCGTTGGTGTTCCCGTCCACCGCACGGCTGGCAGAACCGCCCCCGGAACGGGTGCTTGTCTGGTACGCTGTCTTCCCTCGAGCGATATTGACATCTACACCCACAAAACATTACATGTCATGTCTATAGATTATTCTTGTTCAACAGAAGAGGCATGTATATAAAGCTACAGTCAAAGCTGCCCAAGAGTGCCACCCAGGCTAGACGACCGAGGTAAAGTGGCCCTCTTGGACAGGTTGCTTGATGCTTGCACCCATGACAAACGATCTGGAACCTGGAAAATTTGGTTGTTATAGTCAGGTGGCCAGATTGAAGAGAAGGTTTGACTCTATGTAAAGTAAGAAAAATGTAGCTAAAATGCAGTGAGTTGTTAATTTTTTTCCAAATTTGTCTATCAACTGTGTTAAAAACTGACAGACTAAGAGAAAAATGTAGGTTTCTATATACTTAATAACTCGTTACAAATCTTTGTAAAATGACGATGACAAGCTTGGGGAAGCTTAGCCTAGTGTCCAGTCTATCATGGTTGTTGCGGGTTCTCTTCGAGGCTGCAGGAGCCTTCCCCGCCTGACTCAGCTAGGTTCCCCGGTAGGTTTTGCGCGACGATCGTGGTGGGGCTAATCAACTGCTGGTGTGCAAAACTCCTACTGATGTAACACTCCTACCGGGCGGTCTGTTGTCTGGACAGGGGAAAAACTATTAGAGACCCGAAGACAGCCTGCCACAGCCACAATAGACTGGACATCAGGCAAGAGGAAACTTACCAGGAGCTCCGGTTGGCACGGGCGGTTCGGTCGTTGGTGGCGGTGTGGTCGGTACAGGTGTCGGCAGGAGCCCGGCCTGCGCCCCGGCATTCAGAGACATGGACGCTCTCATCACATCCACCTTTGCTGCATCAACCGCCGCTTTTACTTCTTCAAGTAGAGCTGCAGTGTGACAGGAAACAGGCTTTTAAGAATTCCGCTTAGGCCGGTTTACAATCTTGAAATTGTATTGGAGACATCTCGTAAAGATGGGTGAAGATTCAGTCTTAGAAAACGGCATTCATCTTCTAATACGTGTCGGATAAAGAATGAACGAATCTTAAGTTTTTGTATCATGATCGAGCGGTAGCTATAACTCCTTGCTAATGTACCGGTATATACAGTGCAGGCTTGAGATGAAGTCTTGCATTGAAAACCACACAAGAAAGAGCAACGATGATTGTACTTACTCGTAAGTGCTGCTGCTTCTCCCACTGTCATGGCGGAACCTCCCTTCCCCAACAACAAAACGTAAACCAACAACAACATTGTCTGGATGCAGTACTTGTGTCCCATGTTCAACTGCCTAGAGCGTTCTACGTGCCCAGCAGATCTCCAAAGTTTGGTACTAAAAATACCAGACACTTGGAGCCAAGTAATCTAAAGGTTCCACTACAAACTTGTTTATAGATACCTTTCACGTTCACTTAAGAAACTCATCTCAGGTGTGTAATGAAAGTATAGTCGTGACAATTGTTGTTATAGTTCTCTCCAAATTAGTTTATCTTTGAGTTGGTCAAGTTGTAAACCCAACGGAAATGTGATCTTTTCCTAGTGACGCACATAACTTGATTCTACATTTGCATTTGTCTCACAGTACAGTGTCCAATCTTTAAGCATACTTTAAAGCATGCGTAAATTTTTCATTTGAATGAAGATACTGAACCTTTAAGCATGCTTTCAGTTCTACTTAAACATAGAATCTCATGCAGTGTTTATGATACTGATTGTTCTAGCTAGTATGATTTCTGCAACAATGGTCCAAGGCACACATCTCTATTCAGACTTACGAGAAGATAATCACACTGATTATATATAAGGGCTGAGAAAATTGCGTAGGCTAAGTCAAGACCTCCAGGGCAGAATCTTAACTTTTGAGACATCGTAATTGAATAAGAAGACACAAGTGAGCCCTATTGGGTGATGAGATTCGATTTTGTTGTTTTAACATTCAGTCTTTTCACACAGAAGCCTTGGTGTGGGTGTGGTATGCAATGACGTCACTGATTCCTTAACAAAAAGAAAGCCAACGTTTTCAAGGACGCTTTCTTGTTTATAACTAATTACATGTAATAAGGTGAAGGATGACCTTGTGTTAAAAATAAGGTCCAATAAGGTATTTCGTAGATATGAAATTGTTTGAAAAAAAACTTTATTACAGCAAAGATGCTACATTGTGCTTATGATTTTCAGACAAATAATGGTTGAATTCATATTCTACTAGTATTAAATGGAACTTACTGCAGTGCATCTTTAACAATAAGTCTATAATCTACAATAGTGTTAAAATTATTTCAATTTAGGACATCTAAAAACAGCTTGTGTATCTGAAGACTCAAGAGTATAATGCAAGGAATATTTTTTTCCTTTGGAGTAAGGTGGTCGACACAATGCCACAGGGACGTGAGGGCTCTATACATAAAAGAATGTTTAAATCTTAGAGACTAATGTTACTAATCTTAAAATCTAATGTTGCCACTGACATATATTCTGTATGTAGTTTGTCGGATACATGTAAGTAGGATGACTTTATCCATACATGTATTTAGCTTAAAGTTTGTTAAGTTTTAGTTGTACATGTGTTGTGGACCATACGAAACATACCAATGTTGGTAAAGAATCTATAAAAACAATATAAATGTATCAATAGTAGAAGCATGATAACCGTAATACGGCTAGATATCACTGACTGACACTGTCACAGACGGTTGTAGTCTTGTATAGGTAAAGGTAAACAATAGCTTGAAATACCGTGCCATAATCTTAAACAGCACTCTAACAGCTTTCTTCTCCAGGCCCTATGGATAGATAGATGCGATAATTGTTATTTGCAGCATTGATAAAAAGTTATTATGATCACAGACTGTTTATATATTATCGCTCAATATGAAATCAACAATGAACAAACAAATAAAACAAAAACTGTGTGTGCTGCAATCATATCTCAAATGCACTGAAATTTAAATGGTTTTTTTTTGGCCTAAATTACATGAAACTTATTTAGAAAATCATATCCAAAGTATTAACTGTGTGCAAATAGAATACTGGCCAGGTAACCATTCCAACCTACTGGCAATGGGGGTGTTCCCTAGGTGATATTTCCAATTCAAATATTAAATTGAATATCATCATTCATTCATTCATTCATTCATTCATTCATTAAACTAAAATTCGAGAGACCCCAGACCTCCATGCAATATAGACTTATTCCCTGTTGGACAGACTGAACCAACCATATCTATTGCAACCTGACCTAAAGGCCATGCGGAAACAAAGAGAAAAAGAGAGAGAGATGCCAAAAACAATACCTCAATTTTTCATAGAGGTAAGGCCACACCAATGTAATTTGTTGGTTCTCTGATTTTTTTTCCAGAAAAAATATGAAGCGACAGGGCAACAAAAAAAAAATAGAAACAGGTGTAGGCATCCTATTATAGCCCCAAATGCTAGGAGCCATGAAGTCAACATAAAATGATGGGTTCATATTTAAACAATGAATTTTGAACTTTTAATGAAACCACTGCATTGATAGGTAGAAAAACTACATAACAACAGGAAGAAGACTTTGTTGGGGGCAAAATATAAGCATTTTTAGTTGATTCAGAACCAGAAAAATTTTTTTTGGAAATCAGAAAAAAATAAGAGGCGAATCTGAGAACCAACGAATTAAATTGGTGTGGCTTGATAATAATTTTAAGAAATAGCTTGAAAGCACAAATGATTCAGACTTACCGATCTGACAGATGAAATATTTCCCCTTCCAACACTCGTCATCGTCCCACCTGAAGCTGGATCCTGCCCACATGTGGATGCAGTCCTGTCCCCCGAATCTCCCGTAGTTGTCGTTTGGTTCGTACGGCGCCCAGTTGGTGTAGTCACAGCTCTTCTTCAAGCTCCCGTCCGCCCACATCCACCTGCCTTCAGTCTGAAGAACAAGAGTTCTAAGATCACATACCTCCGCATTTCATTGAACCTCCTTGCACCGTGAAATATATTGTTTTTGTGAATTTCTCCCTGATTCTGTCAATGCCATAACCTTGGTTAGATGTTCAGGGTTAGGTGTAACATGTTGCTTGGTGTAATGTAGCCAGCTGCCGCAGCGCTGCGTGCCTGTGAAGCTGGTGTGTTATGCCGAAGACTATACAGATACAGATACAGAAGTATGGGTTTCAGAGGTTCTGTTAAAAATGATTAGATTTTGGAAAGATCATAGAAGGCCTTGAACCTATGACCAAGGAGGTTTTGATTTATCAAATGACAGCTTTTTCATGTAGGAATACAAAAACAGAAAATAGGTTAGTAGATGATACTCACCTCCTTATCATTGAGTCCGAACCAGTAGTTTTCCCTGTCTGGGATCAAGCCCAGAAGGAAGCTGTTGAGAGACGAGGTCTTTATAGAAGCCAGGTTTCCCCCGTCAGCCTCGCAAGTCTGCTGTGCGCTGCCCTGGTCCATTTTCGTCGTCCTGAACAGCTTGTAGTAGGATCCCCCTCTCTCTGTGTACCCATCGGGAATGGTACTCGTGGAGCCAGATCCTGTAAAACACAAAAAAGGTGTTGAAAAATTGAATGTTCTGCTGCAGTACCACAGAAAGTCACTAGCAGGCCAATACTCATAATTCGTATATTCTGCTGCCAACTATAAACAAGTTAGTGTAATACCATAGGAGTCAATTTTAAGCTTCTCGGATTATACTGTACAGGAACAAATTCGCAAACAGTGCTGATAACTTATGTATAACTTACATGTAATCTTTTAGAATCATCAGCCTGTACCAAATCCTATTGCCAAATATTAATAATATAGTAATAATTGTTTATTGATCGATATGTACAATCTCTAGCTGAATGAACTGGCCCTGTACTGTATGCTAGTAATATCGCTTAATAGGTCAGTCAACGACATGAAACAGTCTATCCGATACAGTACAGGGAATACAGGAAATACAAGTAGATGACTATATTGCAAAAGTCTACCTGCAAAGACCTGGACCTCGCACAGGGTCATGGTCCGGGAGTTTCCAGGCAGACGGACCCCGACGTACCGCCCGGCCATCCCCTGACAGGAGACGGAAATGGACGGCTGGTTCAGGGCAATTTGATGGTCACCTCCACACTTGGGGTTCAAAGCGACCTGGTCAGAATTCCCAATGTGAATGTTGAAGGGGTTGATTCGTTCTGGACAGCAGTCCTGGCGGTTGAAGATGACCACTCTGTGGACAATTGCAATGATGGCAGGGCAATAACAACTCAGTTTAAGGTGTACTAAACATAAACGCGCGTGCAACATACTTCTTAAACATAATTGACAAATGCACAAAAATTCCGCTGCAGTACGACTGGAAAAAGCCAGGTGGACCATTTTTGAACTTGACCTACATCTCCACAACAGCTACCCACATGCCAAAAAAAGATTAGCATGAAGTTCCATCTAGGTTGGCGGTTGACATTGTCAAGAACTACCAAAACTGTGATTCCTCCAACAACAACTCTGCTGAGATTTTGGTCATTCTACATGCTGAAGAAGGAGACTGTTGTAGGTTCATTTTGTTTTTTTTTTAATCAAAGTTTAGTCCTGGTGTAACAGTGGGGGGTTTATACTATTAGGTGCTACCAACTGACCCGGCCGACGGGTCTAGACCTTTTCGGCCGAGCGGTTACAGTGTCTGACTGGGGCCCGGGAGGTTGTGGGTTCGAACCCCGCCCGGAACCAGTGGGTTTTTACTGGCTCCTCCTGTTTCTTACACTGGACAGTAGCGAAAATTATCCTTTGTCTGAACTGTTCGTACCTGCCAATGTTATACGATCGCCCGAGATCCACCCACCAACTGGGATTAGCTATCCACTGTGAGGTGTGTGTACAGGAGCTTTGGTAGTAGTCACCATCGGTGTTCCCGTCTACAGCAAGGCGGGCAACCATACCCCACTCTGTGGTCGTCTGAAACGCTGGCTTCCCTTGCGCGATGTTGAAATCTGCATATGGCAGAAATCTTATAACTAAAGGTTTTATATTTATATCTTTGGCTGTATATCACTGAAATAATAGGACGACCTATGCAAAATAGACATTTTGCTGGATTCATTGATCCTTAAGTTAAGCTTGTATTGGCGATCGACTTAATGAAACAACATTGAGTTATGGAAGTTATTCACTCTTGTCGATTCTCACCACTTTTTTGTTTTCAAGAAACTTCCCACAACATAGTTCGTTACCGGTATATATGGATGGTACGTGGCATGAAAGTCTACCAAGGATAGACGCTGGCTCAGGATACTCAAAAAGTATAATGTCTTACCGGGTGGTGGGGTGGTCGGAGCAACAAACTGAGGAAGTCCTGTCTCTGCTGCGGTGTTCAGAGTCTGAGTAGTTTGGATCACTTTGATCTTTACCGCATCAACCCTCGCCTTCACCTCCCCAAGTCTGGCTGTTGTGTGACGGTAACTGTTGTTAGAATTTTCTAGTCTCTACAAAGCTTCAGAGGCAGATGGAAAGGGTAGGGAAGATTGTCTTTTTGCCCAGTTCAGAACTCTTCCCAACCACCTCTTTTGTCTGGCACAAAGTATGGACAATGTTATGGCTCAGACAATAGCTGTCACTCATTCTAGTACCTGATTGAAGTGAAGAACAACATTGGTACTTAGAACTTACTATTCAGATGCTCCACTTGTTGCACTGTCAGGGCAGACCCTGCCCTCTCCAGCCACAGAACTGAAACTAACAGCAACAGGCCCAGGGTTCTTTGGATGCAATTCATACTGGCCACTCTCAATTATCTGACGTCCTTCAGAACTATGTAACGTAATATTTCACAATATATATCTACGAAACTCCTGGGTCTAGTTGATCTAGGTGCTTGCACGTCTTTTTGAGGCTTGCCCTAACCTACAACTAACACCACAAGAAAAGAGTCCAGTGGCACTGCTACAGTGGGAACGCTAAAATTGCCCTGTACATTCCTGTTTTTGTGTTTTAAGTGTATTAAGCACTTAAATCGTTACTTGACTTGCACAAACAACAAGTTAGAGAAAGGTGACAATGGTTATCTCATTGTGGAGGACCCAGTCACTAATGTGTTAGAAGGACATGACGTGCTTTAGAACTGTATTTTCAGGTCATGGCCATCTGGCGCCAGTCTGAGAAGAAGAGATCTATTCAACAACCTGCCCCCCTCCCCCTGCACCACGGCTGAATACATTTGATATGTTCTATAATAATGTTATGTCTACATCAATTACTGAAATAGGCAGCTATAATATCACTAAAGCAGTTTTCTGGAGACAACATATGCCAAAAAAGTTGTTTGGCTGAAGCCAGTGACTCTTGTATTGGTGATTCAATCATGGGACACATGAGTTATGGGAATGGACTTTACATCTGTGAGTTACACATTTTGTTTTTATAAAAAAAATCAAAGAATACGACACAATTATGTTACATCTCTCTCTCTGCCACTTTCTCTCTATCTCCCTCTCTCTCCCTTCCTCTTATCTCTCTCCCTTCCTCTTACTTTCTCCCCCCTCGCTTTCTCTCTCTCTTTCTCTCTCTCTTTCTCTCTCTCTCTTTCCCTCTCTCTCTGCCTGTGCCACTTTTTGTGCTTACATGTATTCATCACTAATTGTTACTCGGCTTGCACAAGTTAGCTATAGTTATATATTACTCGAAGACACGACCACACAGCAGCTCCCCTAACGGTCAACCGACTAACTGCAACATTAAAACCGGGAACAGTTGCCACCAGTTATGTTATAAATATCATGAAAGTTCATCTGCGTTGATGGTAAAATTTTTGTTTTGTGAATGCGCGCGGGGTCTGCAAAAACGTTTTTGTTGTATTTACGATATTTGCCACTGAGACAAATGTAGGACAAATGTAAATGATGCTACGCATTTGCGGATTTTCTTTGACCTCGACACACACGTACACAGCCTGACCTAGAACCATCGCAGTCAGTCAAGATTTATTTTACGCTCATCGACACTTACGCAGACATTTCTTCTCACCTCAACCTTACATACCTTACCTCTCCATCAGAATAAGACATTTTTAACTCCTCACCATGGGGTAGGGTTATACACTGCACATATGTCGTGTTATCGGAGTGCTTACACATGTTTTGCCGTGGTGACGATGGCATAGTGGCAAGGCTATTGGGCACAGGATCGAGAGGTCATGGGTTTGATTCCTTGCCAGACGGTGTGTCCTTGGGGAAGGGACTTTACACGACTTTTCTCTACACCACCCAGGTGTAAATGGGTATACCTATCTTTGATTACAAAGGCGGTGGAATGAGAGGGATGGGCTCTGCCTTCTAATAGCGTGCCCTAGATACCGTGGACTAACAACCCACTCAAAGTGGCTGGGAGAATTTAAGTTGTGCCTAACTTGAGTTCTCAGTCCCTTTGTCTATGTCCTTTCATTTGCATTCATTACTATCATGAAAGTTCATCTGTGTTGGTAGTAAGCATAGTAAAAACGTTGAACTTTATTCCAACACACAATTTACGTGTTTGTAACCGTAACTCTCGCGAGATCACGTTGTGAAGTGATTGGTCATTAATTATCCTGATGAAGGCAACAGTGGTCGCTGAAAATAAATTTGATCTCTCGGTAAATTGTGTGTTGGAATAAAGTTCAACTGTGCATTCATTACTGTTTTTCTGAATAAAAAAACAACCCACTGTCCCTGCGGTCTGCGACCTTTTACGTAAAGCATACACGACTCCCGCTTTCGTCAAGATGTTGTCTAAGTGATTCCGTAAAGAACGACAACCCCGGCGCTCGGGCGAATGTACTAACTTGACGATCTGCACATTTCAGATAAGACTGTAGATCGATAGCGCCCGGCGTCAGGTGGAGACCTCGCCGCTTATCTAAGCTTTGATCTTCCTCGGCGGGTAAGAAGACGTTTCAATCGTCCCCGCAGCTGCAGTATACGTAATCCTTACAGGTTGTAACAATATAAGATAAGTGATTCTCAATGTTGATGGGATCTGTGGCTACAATTCTACCAAGCTAGCTTGACTCAAGATACCTTTCAAGAATGATTCTATATATATAGAACGTTGAAAGCGGGTCATTATGTTTACGAAGGAAAACATATTGTTTTTGCTCTGTTTCTTCTTCTTCCGTTTCAAACACTGACCTCTGACGTGGTCAGCGACCTGAACCAGACGTCTGTCACCATGGTAACTGGTGTTGGGTTACATCATGTTGCAATTTTATAGTAGCAGGGATTTAGACCCCTGTCACAATATCAGTGAATGTGTTTGAGTGCGAATTAACAGAGCAGACCACATGCGAAGGTAAACATTATGCATTTTTTCTATGTTATGTTTCTTACAGTATTGTTTTTTTTATCTTGTGCATCATTTTATAGTTGAATTTTTCCCCTATAAGTGGTTTTGGCTACATATCACTTATCTTCAAATTTATCGTGATTATATCACTATAAAGATATGCATATTATGGGCACTTGATCTAGTGAGAAGTGGATAAAATTAATGTTGCAGGTAGCCTATGACGCCCCCCGTCTCTACTCCACTCCTTTTACAAAAGAAAAATGGAAGTACGATGTCTTCTTATATTTAAAATTACGTCCAAAATACGCACGTATGACTTCTACCAACACGTATGAGCTTTCAAGCCACGTAAGACTTCCAGTACTTAGAAAGGCAAATATAATTTCTTGGGAGAGGCACTTGTGCTCAGTAATAGTTATTCATATATAAAAATGACAAGGTGTCCCTATAGAATAGACCTTTTGAAAAGACGACATTAGTCATGAAGGTGATATGCGATGTCTTTATGTAGTTTAGCAGAACATTGGCGTAAGTAAACAGTCTAACCTTTTGGTCTTGCAGCTATGACGTCCACGAATTCCCCAAACTCCCGTTAACTCGATCAAAGCTGTGTATATTTCTAATCAAACTCGCATAAGCCGTCCAAACAAATCACTGAAGAGGGCAAACGTTGCGTTGATTGGTTGCTTTGCTTGATTGTTTAATGTCAGCCACCCAATGACATTTCCTGACTTGAAATCGGGTTGACGTATGACAGATGTTTAACAAAGTGCTCAGGATGTGGCTCGGCGGTTGTCGTACCGTGAGATGTGTTCCATCTGATCCAATATCTCAGAGTAAAGTGCTTGTAGAGTAAAGAATAGCACTGTAGACACACAAAGTACATTCGCCATTACGACTGACCTATTTCGCATGAAAAATAGCCGCACTACATACACATACGTACCGTTGCAATCGTTCTTGCAAGTACAGCATTTTCGCAATATTGCAAAGAATTTATAATAGATTTGAATATGGTGTGCGTGTGCGTGTGTGTGTGTGTGTGTGTGTGTGTGTGTGTGTGTGTGTGTGTGTGTGTGTGTGTGGATAGTGTTCATTAAAAGGGCAGACGTGTGTGGATGGTGTTCAGCATTAAGGAAGGCATGTTCACCTGTGTGTGGATGGTGTTCAGTACCAAGGACAGGCATGATCACCTGTGTGTGGATGGTGTTCAGTACCAAGGACAGGCATGTTCACCTGTGTGTGGATGGTGTTTAACACCAAGGACAGGCATGTTCACCTGTGTGTGGATGGTGTTTAACACCAAGGACAGGCATGTTACCTGTGTGTGGATGGTGTTCAGTACCAAGGACAGGCATGTTCACCAGTGTGTGGTTAGTGTTCAGCACCAAGGACAGGCATGTTTAAATGTGTGTGGATAGTGTTCATCACAAAGGACAGGCATGTTTATTTGTGTGTGGATAGTGTTCAGCACCAAGGACAGGCATGTTTGCCTGTATGGATAATGTTCAGCACCAAGGACAGGCATGTATGCCTGTATGTGGATAGTGTTCAGCACCAAGGACAGGCATGTTTACCTGTATATGGATGGTGTTCAGCACCAAGGACATGCATGTTCACCGGTGTGTGGTGAAATGAACTTTGCTTCTTGCTTCGACCTGTTTCTGTCTTTCCCTTAGAAAGACAAGCGTCGTTAGGGTAGGAAAATAACGACAGCCATAGAGAAACTAAGTGGTGTCCGTAAAGCCATAAATGAGCCCTAGATTCGCACGTCACCGATAATTCCCACCAGGGGACCGCTGAGCTACGGTCTGCTCGCCACTGATGTCACACGTGGGACCAATATGGGGGTTTTCCTCAATCCCGAATCATTATCTAAAAGCTACAGCGTATCCAATGTGACACTTACAAGCTTTGACCCTATAAAACATGAGACTACACATAGTTAGCCTACACTTCGCCTGTATTTCTTTACGTTAGTATTTGCCATAACGCTATGTTGAACGTTTTGAATCAGTTGCTGTGCGTCACTGACATGTGTTTCAGTAAAATATTTGCCCACTCAACTGAAGCCACGTTACTTTGTGATTTAAAAGCTTCAACAAACATGAATGAAAAAGGCTATTTGTACTGCAAATCATCGATGGATGTTATAATCAATCATACTGATGACGGAAGTAAATATAGGAGGGTCCAGAAAGAAGACAAAGGTGAACGAGTCTTGGCTTCAAAAAAGAAGATAATAAGAGACGAAAAAGACTAAAGAACACATCTGTTTTGACTTGCTCAATAAAGATATCTTAAAAGAGTTGTTCTTAAAAGAGTTGTTCGTTTAACAAGAAGTATTCGCGATGTTGCGCGAAGTTGATGTGTTGGTGTGAGGTCGTGTGGCGTAGCGTCAGATTGCTCGACTCGGAACCAAGAGGTCCCGGGTTCGAGTCCTGGCATGCCAGCGATCTTGTGCCCTTGGGAAAGGCATTTACCACGACTTTCCCCACTAGACTCAAGTGAAAATGAGTATTGTCCTTTCCTGTATTTGTTTCTATGTGTGGGACACAACACCAGTAACAGCTGCCTGTGTCCCGTGTATATTGCACTGTTGCAATTTCAATAAATCAAAAATCTTCTGGCGGATTTAGGATCCGGCTCAAAGTCAGTGGTAAAAATATGTCCTAGATGCCACAAAACTATCGCAAATCATTTTATTACACACAATCCCTACATATGCTTGGAGAGTCTTTATTGGGGTTTGTAAATTTGGAATTATAAAATATGCAATACCGTTCCTATCATATCTATCCATTCAGCCACTGGGTATAAATGAAGTCAGAAATGCAAATTTTAGTCCATATTTGCGAAGCCCCTTCATCCTTCTAAACCCCAGTGGGACCTGAACATCAATCTTGCAGCGGAAGTTCCGTAATGAGCGTGTTTAGTTGCAGGTAATTGAAACTGCCCCGGTAGAGGTGGGCGTGCGAATATTCCGGGGCCAAATCAGCTGCTATCTTTCCTGTCATCTGGGCGCAGTCGATATATAAGTCTGTCAACCAGCGGGGCAGAAGCAACAGTTCCGTATCGAGTCGTCACGGAGAACAGGTCGGGCTTAGATAGCAACAGTTGTTTGGAAACTGTTTTTGTGAATTCCTGTATCAAATACAGAGATATCAAACCATTTGTGTTGCTGTTTCGTCAAAAATTTTTCCAGCGAAAATTTCTTTAGCGATCTCTTGCTGGAATCGCTAAGTGAGGATTCGTACGAGTTTTCTACGACAGCAGCCGACTTAGACACGATCGTCTTGCATTTGTCGTTTTGCGTTGCTTGCTGGCACCAGTAAAGAAGACACCATGGACATCGAAGAGTATCGAAAACAAGGTAAGATCTAAGGTCTCTGGACCTCCTGCGTTCATACACATATACATGGTGCATAGTAGCTGCAAATACTTGTGGAGATATACAGTGTGCTATGGGCTTTTCCCCTAGTACAACATAGTAATGATTTGTATAACAAGCATCAGATCATAGGATTCTTGGAAAGCAATGTCTATACAGCATTAAAAGATCTGATACTTCCAACTAAGTCATTATAGTGCATGTCTACACTTTCAAAATGTTGCTATAAAGAAATCAGGGAACAGGGAACGTAGCTACATGTATACAACAAGTATTTTGTCACTAGCACTGTTATGATAGTAGCAATAGTTTGTAACTAACTGTGCATTACATGTTGCGTCAGTAGATATTATATTCAAATAATAGAAATGACCCCGGGTAATTACACACACATCCGTGTTTTTTGTTGCTGCTCAGAGGTGTGTCTCTCCTCGCGAATGCAGGCTTACAATAACTCACTAACAACAACAACAGAACTATGACAGATTTTTGTTGACAGAAGCGTGGTAGTTATGACTTCAAACAAGCCGCCAGAACCCGGTACAAACTAGTACATACCAGTCTGATTTGCGTACTGAACAAGATAGAGGAATTTTGCCAAATGGTCTGAATAAATAGCTATCATAATTGACTAACCATGCAGGGAGCGTAGACTCCTTGCATCTAACAATATAGCTCTAAGGCCTATCTACTCCTTTGGAAATTTATTTACCCCGATAGGCTAGATTGTACGGTTCAAAAGAGCCCGACAGAGACTGTAAAGACGGGTGTGTGTTGATGTGTGATTGATGGCTGTCAGGGTGTTTTCTGTCACATGCCGACGCGGTTTGTGATTGGTTGTGGCGGATCCTCTGGCTAATTTTGTTAGTATTTACGGATGAGTCGATGCAGACGCATAAATCACAGTAAACGTACCGCAAACGTATCTATCACATTTGAGCAAGACAAATACTACCTAAGCGCAAAACCCTGACTTTAAAATCAACTGTGCTCCCACATTCTGGGCCTGATAACTGCATCAATTAAACTCTGTCTACGCTCGTTCAAAGGCGTGATATAGATTCTTGCTTGATTTATGATTCTTGTTTGATTAATGCTGTCTACCTGTGCCGTTCATGTTACCGTGAAAGCGTTGTTTTCGTTTGAATGTAAGCGTTTCTCTTTCTGAATTCACCTCTATTTCACGGCTCCTACCTTTCACGGTCTTTGATTCTAAATATGAACCATTCAAATCATTCAAAGAGGTCGCTACAGAGTGAAGTCTGTTTTTTATGTCTACACACAACAGTATGATGTATGTCGACTTTATCTGATCACGAAAATCCATAGAATAGCTTCCTGAAGAAATTACGTTAAACACATGACGCATAGCTGTTCTTGGTACTGAAAGATGCCGTTGTTCATGTTGTATAAGAAATGACGCAAAATGGGTTAGTTGGCGCTGGAAACTTATATACAAACTTTTTTTTATTCCAACATGTAATCACCAGACGTGGTGACGACACACTCAAGTTTTTTCAACTTATATTAATGCCGCCACCAACACGGGGACAAATACATGACAGGACAATACACATTTACACCTGAGCTAAGTGAGGAAAGCCGTGTAAAGTGCCTTTCCCAAGGACACACGATCGGTGGCATGGCAGGACTCGAACACGATACAAACTTTGTCAATTCAGATCATGAATCACAGATATATATCTATTTCACACTTGTTTTTCCTTCAACTTTATTGTGCCCAGTCTTCAGTTGAAGGCGGCCGCCTCAAATGAAAGAAGAAAAAAAGAACACCTTAAACCCATACTTTCATCTCACTTAACAAGCCTGACAGTTTTATCTTATTCCGTCACAAACCATACGTTCGATTAAGTCCAGCAAAGTTTGCTGTTCAACTTTCCGTAAACCCACACTTCATAAAGTCAATGTATTCCCCCACAGCCCACGCGTTTAGTTTAATGCATCAAATACTCGTATTCCTGTTTCCTGACAACCCACGTGTGTCTGTTTTATCTTCATGTAGCTCCCATCTTAATTTCCCTTACCTTCAACCCCCACGCTAAGTTTATATGTCTCATGTTCATTCCAATTTGGCAAACAACCCACAATGCTGGCTACTGAACGACTCAGAAGTTTTAACTTCATTAGAGACGTCACAACGTTGTTTCATTAGACTTACACAACTTTGTTTCATGTCCTTCTACCTTTTCATTTCGATTGGTCCATGTTACACAGAATTTCTTTCGTTCGTTGTCTTTATGTACATACGACAGTCGGTGTAGTCTGGTGTACCATTATTTTCTTTGTAAGATCGCAATTATGTCAAACACACATATTTATGTATATTGGCACAATTATTTCGCTTAAAGTAATAAGACCAACATAACTTTATTCAGTGACTTTGTTCCCTTTACTTCAATCAATCATTGTCTTTATGTACATACGACAGTCGATGTAGTCTAGTGTACCATTATTTTAATTGTAAGATTGCAATTATGTCAAACACACATATTTATGTATATTGGTCATAATTAATTCGCTTAGACCAACATAACTTTATTTCGTGACCTTGTACCTTTAAATTCATTTCAATCAATCATTATCAACCAGAATTTGTTTCGTACACACCATTCATTCATGAATCTAATTTATTACAAACATGATTAATTGCTGCATTCAGTAATTGGGTTTAGGACTCCCTTTTATGAACAGACAGTCCATTGTAGTTTGTGGAGTACTTTGTCACGGATGTGTTTGTTACAGAGGGTTAATCCCTCAGTCGACAGAGGGTTAATCTTTCTGTCCGTCCGCCGCTTATCTGTAGAAAACAGCCCGGTCCTTAGGTAGGGAGCACAGGCACGTCCGCGGTATATCTTTACACATGCAACTTTGAGTGACATGAATGCGAACACGGTAACAGTCTAGTCAACGTACAACGTAATGCTGCGGTCACAATTCCCACACGGGGCCCGGCCGGGCAGCTTTTGGAAACGAAAAGTACGATATTGAAGACAAACAAGCATGGGTACTCTTTCTGTATATTCTTGACATTTAATGAACTGTTAATTTTTCGTTCATACAAATAGTCAACGTACAACGTAATGATGAGGTCACAATTCCCACACGGGGCCCGGCCGGGCAGCTTTTAGAAACGAAAAGTACGATATTGAAGACAAACAAGCATGGGTACTATTTCTGTATATTCTTGACATGAACTGTTAATTTTTCGTTCATACAAACGGCCCGGCCGGGCCCCGGATTGGAAATGTGACCTTAGCATTAGATACAGAATAGAGATACAGGTACAGAGAAAGTCTTGATATAATAACCTAGGGTACATCTTAACTATTATCCTCTATTGAAGTGAAGCAAGGTAAATCTGGTACTGCAGTGTAGTTTTGCTACGGCTCGCAATGATACATTTGGTCCTGTCTATTGTAATATATTCATGGCCGTAATGATAATCTATACTGGCGACAGTCCTTTATAATTAGTGACCAGACGTGCAGCCAGGGAAATGACATACACGTAACGTGTGATACTTTGATCATCAAAAAACGTTAAACCTTGCTAATTAATCTCAGCGTCCGCGTTAATCAATGGCTTAATGAGGCTAGTAATAACGAACGTGATAAAATCACGCTAATCTGAACTGAATATCATGTCGCCAAGGGATTAAAAGATTGTATTTCATAATCACATGGATATAGACAATGTCGTTACTTCTCTATATGAATACTTGCTTGTAAGGGTAAAAATGTGAAAGTTTTGAGATGAGGCCAACATTTCGGCTACTTGTCTGAAATAATCCTACATATCTGTAGGGAACTACAACGATTATATTTCATAATCACATGGATATAGACAATGTCGCTACTTCTCCTCTATATGAATACTTGGAAGCGTCAAAATGGGTGAAAGTTTTGAATTCAGGCCAACATTTTGTCTGGATTAATCCTACACATCTGTAGGGAGCCACGGCGAGCCGCCCACAAGTTTATTGGTCAATCAGGGTCCCTATATCGTCTGTTAACGGACAGACAAAACGATCTCACCGGAACACTTGACGTAAAATGTAACCTTTACAAAGCTCGCGTGGCGTCCCGTAGACGGTATGGCTGTAGAACAAGGCGGAGGAGAGACAGACGTTTGGTGGCTAGTCAAAAGCAAGTGGGAAAACTTGTCAGGATTTTAAAAGAAGGTCACTCTAGATGGGAATCTAGTACTCAAACGTACATTAGTAATAATGCAACAAGCGACTCATGTCGTCTGGTGTGTTAAGGTTCTGATACATTTTAAGTCGCATTCCATTTGCAAATTCCCTCAGTATGAGGTTGAAAGAAACGGACTCTTTGAATCAGTAATGACATAATCTCCTCCAAGAATTCACCATCTAGAAAACCATGACAAAACTCATTAAAAACGTGGGACTATTGATGAAAGTCCAACTCGTCAGTAATGCATGTAGAAACATCAGATAGAGCAATATACCACAGGCGCTAGGCCACCGAGTTTTTGTTGAGATCTAACAATACATGTAACGTTACATTGTTTTGTAAACCATTAAATGAAATCCTTATTATTGTTTCGCGCATGTTAGAACATACACTGTGTCTACTCATTCAGCCCGTTGCCATCACAATACAGTGGTCCGTTGAAATATTCCCAAAAATCATACAGTCACATAACACAGTTAACACATAACACCGTGAACACGGCCCGTTGAAAGGTTCCCTAGAATCATACGTACACTGAACACGGTCACAAACTGATGAGGATTCCAAAGAACCATACGAACAGATACCGAAGTCTCCCGAAGATTGCCGAGAGCCGAACAGCGACTTCCGAACGCTTCATCTTGGTTAGGTACTTAGTACTAGTATACACTATTTTACGTCATCTTTTTGAAGTTATCACCGCTAGCGCTAGCCCCGGCTTGGGGTTCTATCGAGTCGAGCAGCGGTTTTGCGAACGCATTCGAGTTTGCGAAACCTGTTCTATTCCTGTCGGCCTTTGCGCTACCCTGAACGCCAATGTAACAGCTGAGTAATGAGTGTGCTTTTTATTGTATGATTCAGCGGACCAAGTACCCAGCAGTATGTATTATATATGTATGGTTCATTGTACAGAGAATTCTAGGGAAATTTTTCAACGGACCGTGTTCACGGTGTTATGCGATGAGTGTATGATTCTCGGGAATCTTTCGACGGACAGTGTTCACGGTGTTATGTGTTGAGTTCATGACTCTTCGGATCCTTTCAACGGACCGTGTTCATAGTGTTTGTGTTCAGTGTATGATTATCGGGAATCTTAAGCTTGTACGGAGTGCACAGTATACGAGTGTTCATAAAACAAAGCAACAGCGATCTCAACAAAAACTCGGTGGCCTATCGCCCATGAATATACTAGATTTTTATCACCTTTTTTATGCCGCATTTGAGCGTGTGAGTTGTGGTAATGAGTTTGCAAATGTGCTCGGATGCTTTTGCTAAATCTATCTAAAACCTATCCCGCAAGCATCAAAAACTTTTTGCCTATTTCAGCGTCAACTTCGTACAATTTTCCCTTGGGGATTTCTGTTAGCCTATAAATGTCAGCATTTTTAGCTTTGGTGGGGAGTGGTCGAAAGCTAATAAGGCTGACACTCAGGCTAGAGTGAGCTAACCCCAGTACAAACTTTCTGAGTATCCTCCGGTCAAATGATGCTTTTAGATCAACTCTTCAGATCTCTATATCTGTTGGTAAGAGCTTCCACAACTTACTCTTCCCGAATGACACACATTCCAAGATGTGACGGCTTCAGTCGATGCCCCAGTTTACAGAACCAATATCCTTTCATCAACGTTCCTGTGATTCCGTACCGTGTTAATTCACCCCCATTTCCTTCCACTCTCTTCCGACACTTTCAAAGGGGGCGAAGTTTGCGTTCCTGGCAAAACCAGGCCATCCGATACGGGAACCACTTGAAGTGAAGCCCGGTAATTTATAGGTTACCTTACGGTCGTCGTTATCGCTGGAGTATTGGCATTTCCTGGTGATTGATGTGGTAATCATGCACCGGCCTATCCTAAATCTGACTGCCCGGTTTGATAATGAGCGCCGGGCCTGTGACATATTGTCATGATTATGATCTTAGTAAAGTCATTTATCATCCAGACAGCCCAACAGCTTTCTATCTGTGTGAAAATGTTCCTTAGGACAAGAGGCCAGCTCTATAGGGACATGTTCTTATATAAAATGACAGCGAAACGATATTCAGTTATGGATACGTACGTTTCGTTTGCTTGGGCTATTCTTTAGGTTCTACACCGATGCACGCAGACAAGAATTCTGGATATGTCGTTGTGTTAGTTAAAGCTACCGTCCCTGTGCTAAGCCTTAGCTGAAAGCTCCTGGTCTAGCCCTTAACACGTATTCTAAAGCAGGGGGTATAAGCAAGATCAAAGGATAGTACCGATAGCAAGGAATTCCAGGCGTCATTTGGACGGGGTAAAATGTGTTTTTTTTCTTGGATGAGTGTCAAAATGATGATCTTGTTCCATCAGTTGTCCGTCACAATTCCTAAGATTAATCTAATTAGAATTATGAATAAGGGACGGAGGATATCTGATCAATTAGATCCTTGCTAATTAATAACAAATTTATGTCCTTCAGTTGACGTCAGCATAGGATCAAGGATTTTATTGAAATGGGTCACACTGATAGTAGTTAAGTTAAATAGTACGTCGGCAGAATGTACTGTGTCAGGGCGAATCCTGATTTTTGACGGTTTTCGTTGGATTTTTGGCCAACGTTGTATTAAAATTTTGTCTGTCGCTTAGGATATCTTTCCTGACATAACATTTAGAAACTGCAGACGGGATGTTAACCTTATATACGCAGATACGACCTTACATGTATATGAGACGTTCTGCCCAAGTGCTATGCACAATGCATTACGGATTTCGCAGTGCAGTACGTTCTGCCAACGTGCTAACTTAAATAAAGGGCCAGTATGATGTCACATATGGAATAATCAGTATGAAAGTACGTTCAGCACCAAGGACAGACCCAATGTGTCGTAATTGGAAGAACAACCAATGTGAATGTATGTTCAGCACCAAGGACAGGGCGAGTTTGAAGTCACTAGAAGAGATACTTTGTGTGAGCGTACGTTCAGCACAAAGGACAGGGACAATATGACGTCACTAGAATGATAATTAGTAGCTGGAATGTGTGTTCAGCACCAAGGACAGGAACAGTGCGAAGTCACTAGAAGAATAATCAGTAGGAATGTGTGTTCAGCACCAAAGACATAACTGGTGGGATCGGGAAGTCACTAGGTCGATTTTGGCTCCTGATGGCTTTATATGGTACTGTATAGGAACTTTGCATTCCACTTTGTATTTGATATGGGCATGATTTTTAGGACATCTTTGGCCTAATAATGGGACAGATTTGGATCCACAAGCAATTTGTGCCATAACTGCACTAACATTTTATTGGCGAATTAAAAAAAAAATTAATTAATAATTTTTTTATAAATGTTTTGCCTCCAGCCAAAGAGATGGTGGACTACATCGCGGACTATCTCCAGACGGTCCACACCCGCCGGGTGTACCCGGATGTACAGCCGGGGTACATGCGCAGTCTGGTCCCCGACTGCGCGCCCATGGACGGGGAATCATGGGAAGACATCTTCGATGACGTAGAGAGAGTCATCATGCCTGGGGTGTGTAACGGTTTTATTTCAAATTGTACCGGTTTTATTTCAAACTTTAACGGTTTTATTTCAAACTTCTATTTTTGTGGTGCTCAGAATTGCTTCTTAATACTGTGGCTGTAGAAAATGCAAATAGTAAAGACACACAAATATATTACTTTTGAATCATGATATGTGTTTTTTAAACCACTTCCAAATTCTTACAAAGTTACAAATTCTTAGTCTGATCGTATACTCTGCTATCTTAACTTAATACATCTTTCAATATCCTTTTGCCTAGTGTGGCGGTTACTATTATTAGATAGCTATATATATAATAAACATTTGACAACGAATGTGTAAAGGTATTAACGTTGCCGTGTATACGTTCTAATCTATATTCAGATGAAGGTTTTATGTCATGTTTTAAAATTTCATTCTACAATTTCTAGTTACACAAAGAATCTATATACAGATGGAGGTCTTATGTCTTGTTTTAAAATTTCATTCTACAATTTCTAGTTACACGAAGAATCTATTTTCGAACTTCAAAGTTTACATGTATTTTCCAGGTCAATGGCTGGGGTATACAAACTCGAACGGTGGATAAAAGCAACAATGGTTTATTTACTGTAAATACGTTAAACGTTTATCTAAAGCTTATGTTGTTGACATAGGTGGTCCACTGGCAGAGCCCACACATGCACGCGTACTATCCAGCACTGAACAGTGGACCGTCTCTCCTAGGCGACATGCTGGCGGATGCTATAGGTTGTATCGGCTTCACCTGGGTGAGTTACAGTTTCTCCCTCTCATCCGTGAATATATATAGTTTCATCAATGTGAACCAGTCAGATTTACCCTGAGGAAGGTGACAGACGGTCACCGAAACGTCGGCTAAATAAAAGACTTGGTTGTGTAAAAAATTCTCTTTACTCAGTGTCTCCCTCTGCTGTTCAATCTATGGATGAACACAAACTTTTCATGTCAAGTCATGTCACATCCACCTTTGGGTCCCCGCCGTAAATTTCATCATTCATTTTTCACGATTCACGAGATAAGATCCACGCTATGAAGATATATGCGTCACAGAGTTGTAAAGACATGAGTTAGTATAGAAAGTTTTCGATGTTTATCTGTAAATATTCCTTTATGATCATTCCATTCAAAAGGTGCAGAATGCCACGAAAGGAACAGATGAGAAGCATGGCGTCATCTTGTCCCCTGAAGTTGTATACATGGCGACTTTATTCAGAAATATTCTATAGAAACGTGGACAAGGAACTGTCCCGGCATCCATTTTTCTTACATACCTTTGGAAATACAGAAAAGCCTTTAGATGTAAGATACGAATTGAGGCTACTATATCTAACATATATGTATCTGGTATGAATAGGTTGTGCATAGTTTAGAATTGCTCCCAACACAAAATGTATTCCCAACAACTTTTCGTCTGACTTACGAATGTGCACGGCAACTTTCTTCAATACTGCAGGTGTACCAAACATTCAAGGCACATTCATCGGTCAAACGTTACTGGATATTAAATACAGTTAGACATGACATTTAGTTGCAGTGAAGTTACAATTTATGGTAGGCATACTTTTCATTGATAGTAGCCCTCAGCATAATATGAGCTTGCACAGCTGTGTGGTCCAAGATTCATAGAAACGAAGCCGCCCAAATACCATAACGTATGAGATGACCTTTTTTTCAAATCTAACGGTTTATTTTTATTACCAGGCCTCCAGCCCTGCATGTACCGAGCTGGAGATGATAGTGATGGACTGGTTGGGTGAGTCAGGTGTTAATAACGTTTTGGTCTTCTGGCCATTTAATATTCTTACATAAAACAAGCAAGAACTAGAAAGGTAACATTTGCAAATGCATAATGTTTACCTTCGCATATGGTCTTCTCTGTTAATTCTTACTCAAACACATTCATATATATGGTGAAAGGAATCTAAATCCCTTCTGCTATAAAATTGCAACATGATGTAACCCAACACCAGTTACCACGGTAACAGACGTCTGGTTTAGGTCATTGACCTTATTTGTTTGGAGGAGAAGAGGAAGAGGAAGAAGAAACAGAGCAAAAACAATAATTTCCTTCGGTAAACAATTATCGCTGTCTTTTTCAATCCTACATAAAGTCAACATGGATGTCACCGTTTCCCTTTCTTGATATAACTATCTAGCAATTCATTCTTTTATTAGATGGTATGATTTATATGTATTTATATGCATTTACCGCACGTACTTGTTTGCAAAACTTGGCCGCAAGTATATCTCACATATGACGCATGTGTGTTATTGCTATAGGCAAGATGATTGGCCTCCCACCGCAGTTTCTTTACTCATTGTCGGATGGAAAAGGTGGAGGAGTTATTCAGGTAAATCTGTCACAAGGATATTTCATAGACATTTGTTTTACTTTTACTTCAAATATTCCCTTTTAAATAGAATATCTCTTCACCACAAGACGCAAAGATGCTGATTTCAATACGTATATACAAATGAAAACCAATTTTTAAAATATTCTTATCTTCCAGGGAACAGTAAGTGAAGCCACTTTGGTGTCCATGTTGGCGGCTCGCGCGGAGGCAGTGCGCAAGCTCAAAGAACAGGTCCCGGATGCAGAGGAAAGTGACATCACGGCTCGGCTGGTGGCGTACTGCTCGGACCAAGTAAGGAGCTTTCTGGACTAATGTTGAGGGGGTTTAGAAGGTGGCCTTGTGTGGTTAGAGATGATGACTCAGAATTGGAAAGTTATGGGTTCGAATCTCTGACATACTCCACTGTTCTCACTTGGCTCAGGTGTAAATGAGTACCACTACCTAGATTTGGTTAGTGACGTCCTCTGGGATAGGTCTCGTTTTTTATGGGACCTTTTCCTGTTTGTGTGTCCGTATATAT